CAAAAATTTAAATTTTTTATTGTTCTTTATATATATCTTAATTATATTAAAGTTTTTTCTTTATTTTTTTTTCATACTAAATAACAAAGCTTTATAAAATCATTTTTCATTCAAAGATAAAAATTTAAAGAGGAATTAAAAAAAATTAATACAAGAGTATATTTCATCAACACCAAATCTTTAACAAATTTTTTTTTTTTTAAAAGTGAAGATTTAAGGCGGAAGCGTACACGACAAAATACACCCATACAAATGTAATGAATAAGGATCATTACTTAATAATAATCAACAGTAATTAATAATCAACAATTATTTTATTAATCAAAAAAGAAATTTTTAAAAAAAATAAAAAAATAAAAAATTTAAAAAAACATAAAAAACTTTTTAGTTTTTCTAATTTTATAAAACATAAACAATTTCATTTAAATTTTATTTTTTTAATTATTTGATCTTCGTACCTTTCACTTTATTAAGATGGGGTGATAATAAGTCTTCCTGTGATTCCATTCTGGTGAAATTCCCCTTAACCCTACAATTTTAGTGATTAATTAAAACATTTGAAATTTTTTTTTATTTTCCCATATAAAAAAATTTAACAAATTAACTACAGAGACAAAAAAATGCAGTTGTGAAGGACATGCATTTCTGTGAGTAATTTTCTAGTTATTTTGTAATCTACGTCATGCAAATTGTTGAGATTATCCAAAGATTCTTTTGATAAGCTTAATCTTTCTTACTTTAGATTTTTCCAGGATGGTTTTGTGCCTGTTTGTCGTCTGCGAATTTGAATTCTCCTTAGATAATTAGTATTGGTACCCAATTATTTATATTTGTAATTTTGTATAGGTTGTTTAAATTGGTGTGGAGTTCGATCAGTTGGTCAGCAAATTCGTTTCATTGATTCTTATCTGCTGGTTCATATTGCCAGTATTATATTTGTATTTAATTATTATGTTATATCAGCCATAGTGGCTCTACCTGAAATAATAAATTATAAATATTGGAATCAAAAGACTACTACTACTGAAAGATTTAATAATATAAATAATAAAAAAATTTACATTTATTTTTATTTAAAAATAAAAAATAAAAAATATATTTATTTTGATCGATGTTTATTATTAAATAGTGAAAAAATGTTGCTGAATTTTTAAATTATAAAATGAATGAAATATATTATTAGAATGGGTGAAAATTTAAAAAAAAAAAAAAAAATTTTATTTTATTATTATTATTAATTTATTTAAATGTAAGATTTTCCTTAAATAAATATATTAATTGTATAAAACATAGAGAGATCAATAATAAAATAGGATATAATATTGATTTAATATATAAAAAAAAAATATTAATAAAGGTGAAGTTGAATAAATTAGCTAAATATAAAAATAATTACCAATAAATAATAAAATAAAATAATTATTTTTAATAAAAATATTTTATTTATTTTATATATAATTAATTTATTTAATTTGAATTATACTAAATAAGGATTATATTTTATATTTAAATAATTAATAAAATAATCTTTTATTTTCAAATCTTTTTTTTTACTAAGGAAAAGTTTACCTACTTGTATTTTGGATATCAATCGAGAGAGAATTTTTTGAAATTTTTAAATCTACATTTGGATTATATATATACAATTGTTTTTTTATTTAATTTTATTTATTTTTTATTTATTTTTTATTTTTTTAATTATTTTTTATTTTTTTTATAAATTTTAAAAAATTGAATATAAAAATTTTTTTTTTTTTTTATTAATTAAAAATTCTAATTTTCACACCACACATATAGTTTTTCATCCATCAGCTTTTTTTTTTAACAATAACTTACATTTAATAATATTCACTCGTTTTTATACACACATATATTTCTATTTTATTTTTTTAATATTTATTATTGCACAAAAATGAATTATTTTTTATACATGTTTATTTTATTAATTGTTGTTGCCATCTTTATTTTTTTATCATTTTGTTTTGGTATTGTATTATTCAACAAAACCATTGGCAAAGAAGAGAGCTGGTTAAGTGCTAAAGAAATCAGTGAAAACCAATCCTGGGCAAAATTGAGAGATCAACAACAGGAAGAGCTCCAACAACTCCAACAAATCCAACAGGAGCAACTCCTTGAACTCCAAAAACTCCAACAAATCCAGCTCCAACAACAAAAACAACAAAAACCACTTCTTTAATTTTTCTATTTTGTTTTTACACTACACAAAAAATAATTCAAACAATAACCAATCAATAATTATAATTTCAACATTTTTGGGAAATATTTTAAAAGCCTTTAAATACAGGTAAGTAAATAAGCACATTGTTAAAATAAAAACAACAAATCTATTTAGAAATAGGATTCGTTGAATAAATAAGGAATATAAATTTCTAACACAAATTAATTTTTATTATATTTAGTATTTTAGATCAATATATGGTTACATATTTCATTAACAGGTTATGATAAATAACCTTATTTGAGTAGTGTCATATATTGGTGGCTCAAAATCTGTAGCAACAAGTAAAATTTTAAAATATTTTACATAAAGTGTAGTGTAGAACCCATTAAAGTAGTGCATTAGAATATTTTATAGCAGTAATGAATCATTTGTTTTATCAAAAATTAGAAGAATCGAGTCTGTCTCCCCAAGCTGTGCAAATTCTCGATGTTGTATCTGGTAGTCTCATCAACCTCTGATCTTTATAAATTTGTATCAAGTGGTATATAATAGGACTCATTAGTGTAGAATCTGCCGAGTTGGATCAAATAGTAGTAGCAAATTCAGAAACCAGATAAATTAAAAATAATTATAATAAATAATATATAATTTTAAAAATCAAATAAATATACAATTATTTCTTTGTGAATTGTATATTTTTTATTTATTTTTTTTTTTTTTTTTTTTTTTAGGGAAAAATATAGTCTGAGTTTAACAAAAAAAATAAAAAATTCTAAGTTTTCCCCACTCCTACTTGACTATTTTTTTATTTTTAAAACTTAATAACTAAAAAAAAAGAAAAAAAACTTTGAATTGTGAAAAAAATTAAAATAAAAAAATTTAAAATTTTATTTGTAATTTTATAATATTCATAAAAGACAGAGTTTTCGACAATATCTTATCTTGAAATGTTGGTCCATTCTTTTAACAAAACACATTGTTCTATATCAGTTTTTATTTTATGTTATTGGTGTATATACATCTTTAGCAAAGTGACAATCTAAAGTATTAGAGTTGTATATTCAATTGAAATATAATTTCTTTTTCTATATTTTTTGATCTTTAAACAAGTTTGACTTTGAATTCTGATTCAATACACCCACATTCTAATTTTTCTATTAGAGAATTATTTGAAGTTGAACAATGCATTGTTTTACCAAGTGTTTCCATCAAATTTGAATATTTAAAAATTTCTTCCCCTGTTTTTTAAATTATATTAGGTTTCTTGAATTTTTTGATGGAAAAAGAAGACCTAAGATAATAATTTATAATAAATAATTTATTATCAATTGTATATTCTAATATATTTGTTATTTATAATTTTTAATTTAATAATGTAATTATTTATTATTTTTTTATATGTATTAATAAATTTTGATATTGATAAATAAATAAAAATGTAGAAGTATTTATAGAAAAAAAAATTTATTAAATTTATTTATTTTTAAATTTAAATAAGGGCAACTGCTGTTTTGTAATAAAATATATTTATAGATTGGCTTAACAATATTTTTGTATATTAATATAACATAATATTTATTAATAAAAAAATTTAAAAAAATTTAAAAAAAATTTAAAAAAAAAGGGGGAAACAACCACACATTACATAATATATTAATTGAATATGATTTAACTGTTTTTTTATTGATTTTAAACACCTTTTTAATTTAAAACTTTTTTTTTTTTTAAAACTTTAAAAAATAAAATAAAAAATAAAATTTTGAAATTGACTTTAAAAATGGAACTATTTGACCCCAAACTTAGAAACCCCCTTTTTTCTAAAAATAAACTAAATTTTTTTCCCTATTTTTTTACATATGTAATATTTTTTTAATTTTCAAAACCTTTACAAAACCATATTAATAAAACAAGATATATTGATTTTTGATTTTTTGAGATTTTGTTATAATAATATATCTTCATTTTTTGAAAATATTCAAATTATAATTTTTTTTTAACATAATATTTCTTTTTATTGTTGAAGAGGTGTCAAAATAAACATCAACACAGATATACATATAGCACCATAAAATAAAATAGAATTTTTTTTAAAACATTTTATTCTACAATTTTTTAAATTAGCTATACAAAAAGACCCAAAAAATAACTGGATGGCACTAAATTTTACAAATTTTTTTTTGATCATTTTTTCTAAAATAAAAATAATAAACTTTTTAAATATTTTGAATTTTATTTATTATATAACAAAATAGAATTTTTTTTATTAGGAAATATTTTTTTTTAGGTTGTTTTTTTTATTTTATTATTTCTATTTTCAAATTCTATTAGATATCTAATTTAAAATTTTAATAAAAATAGAGATGAATTAAATTAAAAAAAAACCTTTGAGGCAAATAGATTAAAAAAGGTTTTACAATCTTTGGAAGATAAAACGAATTATGAGTTTTTATAATAAAAATCCCCCATATTAAATCTTGATATTATAGATATATATAAGGTTTTTATTTATTTATATATTTTGATTAAGATTTTATTGTTTTACAGATTTTTATAATTGTGGGTGTATATTAAAATATAAGAGTTTTAAAATATCGTTATCGTTATAAGTTTTTTATATTACCTGGAAGATTCTTTCGATAATTATAGATAATGAAAAAATAAAAAAAAAATAATTAAATTAAAAGTTAATGAGAATAATTATTTTATTTATTTTTAATAAAATTATTTATTTTTTAAAAAAATAACCTTTTTTTAAAAAATATTTAAATAATATTTTTTTAAATATTTTTTTTTTAAAATAATAATTACAAATCATATCATGGAAGACTATAATAAAAATTCAAATCATCAACTATCTTCTATGCTAAGAAATATAGAAAAATTTCATACCATAATTCAAAGTCCCATTGACAACCACAATAATGAAAAAAACCCAGGATCATTTAAAATTTTAGATTTTGGTTCATCCCATGGAAAAAATTCTTTGATTTTTTTGGACTCTATTATGTCAAAGATTAAACCACAAATAAATAATGGTTCAATAGAGATATTCCATTGCGATTTAGAAATAAATGATTTCACAAAATTGTTTTTAGAAATTAATAAAAATGAAGATTCATACAAAATAAATGGAACAATACCTACAGCTATGCAATTGGAAATACTTATAAAAATCAATTGATGCCAAATGAATCTTGTGATATTATTTTTTCATATCATTGTTTCCATTGGTGTAGCTATGAAGATAAACTCCTTTCAGGAATAAGTACCTTGGTAAAAATTAAAGAGTCCTCTCTTTGTCCAAAAGTAAAAGAATTTAATATTGATCATCTAACTTCAATTTTTTCTCATCGTACTAATGAATTAAAAAAAGGTGGTATTTTTTATTTGTAATTTTTTAATATTCGAAAAAGAAAATGAAATAACATATTCATCAGAATCATCATTTACAAATATTAAAAATATTTTAAGAGAAATGGCATATGAAAATGTTTTATCTCATAAAGAAGTCGATGATATGTTTGTTCCATTTACTTATTTTAAAAAAGATGAGGTAGATATAGCTGTAAAAGAAGTTGAATCAAGAGGTTTAAAACTAATACATTCAGAAAAAAACTATGAAACTTGGGAACAAAATGAAAATTTTGTTGATGGTGTATTATCAATTATTTCCCATTCAATTAAAAGACCTTTGGAAGGTGATACAGAAAAAATAGATTCAATATTTAATGAATTTAAAAAGAGATTTAAAAAAAGCTATAAATTAAATCCAGAAATGTATTGTATATATTCATGTTTTAAATTATTAATTTTTAAAAAAGAATAAAATAAAAAAAATTTTGATTTTTTATTATTTTTTTGATTTATAATGGTTTTGTTGTAATCAAATAATTAAATAAAATAAAATTTAAATAAAATTGAAAACTAAAAAGTTTAAAATATTTATTATTTTTTATTTTTTTAAAATATTTTTTTTGATAAATTGAAATAATTATTATTTTTTGATTATTATAATGATCCTTGTTTATTACAAATTCCCTTTGTTAAATATTAAAACTAAAGAGGCTCCATCTAAGTACAAAAACACAATAAATTTTTTTAAAGTGACAATAATTTTTAAACATTAATTTCACCAGAAATTTTGTTTTTTGTTATTCTTTTTTTTTTTTTTTTAAAAAAAAGAAGATTATTAAAAGCAAAGAGCAAGTCTAACATTGCTTTTTTTAAAAAAAAAAAAGAAGTGAAGATAATTATATCATTGCTCCCCCAATACTTTTTTTTTTTTTTTTTTTTTTTTTTTTTTTTTTTTTTTTTAAAAAAGCTTACTTAATAATATAATAAATATTATTAGTGTAAGCGACGGTGTTTATTTATATTAAAATATAAGAAGAAGCGGGTGTTGGGGTAAGGTGTGTTGGGGTAAGGTTGAAACAACCTATCTAGTTTAAGAAGTTTTTTTTTTCTTAGATTTTTGTTCAATAGCAGGTGATTTCGGACTACCTGATTGGTATGGAGTGTTTTTGATTGGTGTGGATATTTGGCTAACATTTCGAGTACGGTTACTTTTTGCGGTGGTATTCATATTTGTTATGGCGGTTTTTTTTTGGAAGTTGGTGAAGCTAATCTTGTAAAGATGTTGTTTAGTGGTTGATGATTTATTGTCATCTTGTGGTGATTGGTTTTTTGTTTGTTTGTTTGTTTCGTCATTAGATATTTCCTCGTTATCTAGTGTGTTAGTTGAATTGTTAGATTCGTTATCAGAAATAGTTTCTTTGTAATCATCATCTTGATCATTAAAGTCGACCCTATCTTTTTTGATTAATTGATTGATTATGGTAATGTTGTTATCAATTTCTTTAACAGTGGAGACCCTGGACATATCTTCATTGCTTAATTGATTGATTTTGGTAATGTTGTTATCAATTTCTTTATCAGTGGAGACCCCTAGTATATCTTCATTGATTAGTTGATTGATTTTGTTGTTAGGATGATTTTTTGATTTTGTTGCAGACTTAATCTTAATACGATAGTATGGTGATTGGAGTAGCTTTGATTTGATTGAGTTGTTTTTTCTTTCAATGAGGTGGAAAAAGGAGGTATTGTTTTTGTTGACTTTGATGTGAGAAAAGAAGAAGTCAATTTTTAGGTTAAGTTGTTCTTTTAACACTTTTTCAATGTCTTGATTAGATGAGTTGATGTTTCCAATTACCATATGGTAATCGTCACAGTGCGTGATGAACTTGTTCATCTTGTTGGTGGTATCTCTTTCATTTAGGAGATTATGTAGGTTTTCTTTTGAGAGAGAGATAAAGATAGTTTTCTTTTTCTTTTTGTCGAATGAGATCTTTTCTATATCTGTGTATTTGCTGAAATGAATTATATGTTCATCGGATATTTGGTGGTTTGGGTAATATAATCTGAGATTGATGTTGTTTCCATTTTTTTCATAAGTGGATAGTTTGTTATCTCGTTCAATGATATCTTTAACACTTTTTTGAATTATAGAGATGCTTGACAAGAGTATGTCTTCAATAGTATTGAAATTATTATGAGGAAAATCCTTAGTTTTCATTTCTTTCCAATCGTTGGATAAATCTATTATGACTGGTTTTACGTTTGAAGATGGTGGTGGGAATGATGTTTGTAGTTGGATTGGCTTTTAGAAAGACAAATTGGTGAAGATTGGAGATAGTGAAGATAGAAGATTAAAAATCTTTAATACGATCTAAATTCTTTTGATCTGTGTTTTGTGGTGTATAATTAATATACATTGAAATAGCTTTTAAAAAGCTGTTGGACAGTGCTAAAATTATTTGATAAAACTTAATTTATAAAAAGTTAGATTTTATATGATGTTAACACTTGTCGGTTTTTTTTTTTTTTTGCTTATATGAGTTTTACCACACTGCATACAAGTTGGGCACGGTAACGTCAATTCGTGTGGGATTCGGAAAACTTGCTGAGACTGGGATTCGAACCCGGAGCGGTAACTTGTAGGAAATTCGTTCGACCACTTGGCTATCATTGTTCCCCCCAATACCCTATGATTAAAAAAAAAAAAAAAAAAATATATATATATATATCTCTGGGAAGATTTTCTTTATGAAAAAAGCTCCCCATTCGGGAATCGAACCCGAGGTACCAGTGTGAAAGACTAGAGTGTTACCGACTACACCAATGAGGATATTAATTGATATTTTAAATTTTTCATTTTTTATGGACTTTTTTTTATCAAATACAATATTTTAAATATAATCAAATTTTTAAATAAATAAAAGCAATAGAAAATTTTAAGATTTTAATTTAATAGTAAAAAAGTATGTATTTAAATTATTTTTAAATTTTTATTTTTTAATTTTAAATCAAAAAAAATAAAAAAAAATAAAAAAAAAAAAAAAGATATTTTTAAAAAAAAATTTTTAAATTTTATTTAAAAAAAATATTTGAAATTTTTTTTTTTAAAACCACCGCAATAGTATGAATAAAAACAATATAATATATAATAATGATAGTAGAGATATTATTCCAAATATAAACACTTTACTAAACAGTGACTACTCAACAACAAACCCCAATATATATGATCCTCATTTCCCTCCAAATATTTTTTATTCAAACAACAACAATGATGGTTATAATAATAGTGGCAAAAACTCAACTTTACCAAAACTACCAAATAATATTAATAAAATAAATAAATCAACTTTTTATAATACAAATAGTTATTCAACACCTTTTAATATACTTCCTAAACCAATCAATATTATTTCAAACTCATACTATGATGATAAAGATAGTGATAATATAAATAAAAACAATCTTAATAATATAAATAATATTAATAACAATGATGATAATAATACCAATAGAAGAATCAATAGTTTAAATATAAACAACATAAGCAATACGAATAATATAAATACTATAAATAATATAAATAATATAAATAATATAAATAATATAAATAATATCGACAACAACATAAATAATATTAAACTTAATAAAATGATATGTTTTGATAATGATATTACGCCACCAATAAAACCCTTCCCAGTTCAACTATTCCCCCAACCACCCGGGGCAGATCCAGCTTTTATAAATAGGAATGAGACTAGATTTACACCTTATCCATCAACATCAACAACAACAACAACAACAAGTACAAGTACAAGTACAAGTACAAAACCAACCAAATCTAAATTTCAAACCAAACACACAAGATATTTAAGGAATCACAATAAAGAAACAGGTATGTATACTTGTAAAGCTCTAAAAAATAACTCAAATGAAGAATGTGGTCATAAATATCCCAAAGAAAATAGCATAAGAAAACATATAATTAGTAAACACGAATCACAATTAGAAACTATTTACCAGAAAATATTTGTTAGAAAGGAATACAATAACGAAGGATATTGCGAAGAAGATATGAAACTATGTGAACATATTGGATGTATTACTAAAGTTTCAAGCTGGAATTATTCACATCATTATAAAAAAACCCATCACGTAGGTCGTCCAGATGAAAAATTAAATTGTAAGAAATGTAACAAAGTCGATAAAATAAAAAAAATTTAATCCCAATTTAATATAACAACTCATTAAGGTAATTACCAAACTCATTTTATATCAAACCCTAACCATTATTTACTAACCAATTTTTTATCATTAGACATTAGCAATGATTTTATTCATGAAATAAAGAATATTGTAGTAGAGATCTCAACATAGGGCTATAATAAAATGAAACTCTAAAGTTATGGATAGGCTTATAACCACCACCCCCTTGGCACCAAATTTTCCCAAGCAAATGTAAAACTCAAATATCTTCAAAAATTTTTTTATTAAATTCATTTGATTAATTTTCTTTTTTCCCAACCACATTCCATTAAAGTGAAATCAAATCAAAGTTTTTAAATAAAAAAAAACAAAAAAAAAAAACCTTAATTTTAAATATTAATTTTAAATATTAAATTATATACTTTACCCCTTTTATTTAATATTAATTTTTTAACTTTTTTTTTCAAATTATTTACATCTGTATAATTTTTGATAATATCTTTACCAATATATATTAATATTAGATATTATCCACTGAGTAATAAATAAATAAATAAAACTAAAAATAATCCAATCTTTGTTTTTTATCTTTCTTTTTAATTAGGTTTTGAATGTATGTAATTGGGACCATATTCAACAGTTTGATTGGGGTTTGAAATGGAATCATACTCGAGAGGATATAACACATCACCCATTTCAATAAAAGCTATAGAGTCAGGGATAATACCGTTTGTTAAACGTTGAGAGAAACCATTTGAAAATATGAGTTTAGTTAAATATTTTGGAATTGATCCCGGTTTTAATTGATACTTGATGTTATATAATAACAAACATTCTACGGTGGGTGGTATAAAATCAAGTGGTTGGTCAAAGCCGTCATGTAATAATAATTGCGTTACGGTAGGTGGAATTGAACCAGGTTTTAATTGATATTTGATGTTATGTAAACACAAACAATTTACTGTGGGTGGGATAAAATTAAGTGATTGATCAAAGTCATCATATAATATTAAATGTGAAATTGTTGGTGGAATTGAATCAGGTTTTAATTGATATTTGATGTTTTTCAAAAACAAACATTCTACGGTGGGTGGGATAAAATCAAGTGATTGGTCAAAGCCTTCTTGTAAAAACAAATTTGTAACTGTTGGTGGAATTGAACCAGGCATTAATTGATATTTGATGTTATGTAAATACAAATACTCTACGGTGGGTGGTATAAAATCAAGTGATTGATCAAAGCCATCTTGTAAAAACAAATTTGTAACTGTTGGTGGAATTGAACCAGGTATTAACTGATACTTGATGTTTTCTAAATGCAAACATATTACGGTGGGTGGTATAAAATCAAGTAGTTGATCAAAGTTTTCTTCTAAATATAAATGTATAACTGTTTTTGGAATTGAATCGGGTAGTAGTTGATACTCGATCCTTTCTAAACACAAGTGTTTTACGGAGGGTGGTATAAAAATAAGTGGTTGATCAAATCCATCCAGTAAAGATAAATATACAACTGTTGCTGGAATTGATCCCTGTATTAATTGATACTTAATTTTTTCTAAATACAAATATTTTACGGTGGGTGGTATAAAATCAAGTGGTTTGTTAAAGCCATTTAATAAATATAATTCTGTAACTGTTGCTGGAATAGAATCGGGCATCAATTGATTCTTGATGTTATATAAATACAAGCATTGTACTGTGGGTGGTATGAAATCAAGTGATTGATTAAAGTCATCTAGCAATAATAAATGGGTAAGTGTTGCTGGAAAAGTCTTGGGTAAACTTTGGATAGGTCCTATAGCAATGTAATTGATTTCTAAATGACCAATATCACTCCCATCTTCATAAATTGTAAATTCAGAATTAAACACTTTATTAAAAAGAATTATATAAAGTATAATTAGTTTAAAATAAAAATAAAAAATTTAATGATAAAGCTTACATTCTAGTGTTTTAAAATGTTTTTTATTTGAAGTAATATCATCAAGTCTTTCCAAATAACTATTTGCTAGCTCCTTGATTGAGTTGAGACTATTTTGTATAATTATTTTTGGGATATCTTTATATTCTGGAAAGTTATTATCTATATTTGATAAAAGTTTGTTACATTGTTGAATGTGTTTTAAAAGTCCAATAAATTTATTACCATTTAAACAATAATTAATATCTTTATTATAATTAATAGCATTATTAATTTTATTATTAATTTCTTCTATTCTTGTTGATATTATTTTATTTACTTGTATATTTTCCTCTGATTTAGTTAAAAATAAACTTTGGGTTTCTTTATTTTTTTCAATGAAAATATCTTTAAACTCCTCAAATATATTCAAAGTTTTATTAAAAATATTTGAATTGTTTTCTTGAATTTGCATAAAGTGATTGTTTGATTCATCCAAAAAAAATTTATTATTTTCTAAATACCTCTTTAATTTTGGAATTGTTTGATAATTAAAATCTTGTTGTATTTGATTTCTAATATTATCATCTCGGATGTTTATAAAATAATGACCATTGTGAGTACCTGTAATACATTCAATACATACAGGAGTGTTGTTTGGACAAACTGAGCATATTGAAACTATATCTTCATAGGGATGATATAAGCATTTGATATCATATTGATTATTTTGCATTTAAATATAATATAGCTAAATAAAATATAGTTAAATTATTATAATAAATATTTAAATATAGTTTTTTATAAGGGTTTTTTAAAGTTTATTTATTATTAAAATTGTTTTTTATTTACAATAATTTTTATATAAATTAATAAAGAAGCACAATCAAATATAAAAATTAAAAAAAAATTAATTTTTTTAATTTTTTTATTTGATAATTTTAAAAAAATTAAAAAAATTAAAAAAAATTAATTAACAAAAATTTAAGTCGCCAATAATGTGAATTTTAAATTTTAATTTTACCCTTGCATCATTTAAGTTTTTTAATTTAAAAATTAACACTTTTTTTTTCTCTGATTCTTTTTTTTAATTTAATGATTTCAAGTAAAAAAAATAAATTATTTTTAATTAAAAATAAAAGATTCAAATAAAAATAAAAAAAATTTTAACAAATTGCAATAGCTCATTGTTTAAAAATCATTATTCAAAAAATAATTAAAAATTAACCAATAGTAGACATCATTCTAAAAAAAAAAAGATAAAATAAAATAAAATAAGTAATTAATTTTCTTTCTTTATTTTGACTAATTAAAAATGCAATCACAGAAATTGTATTATTGTAAATTAAATATTGGAACTTCCATAGTAGTATAATCCATTAAATATAATGGCTATTTTAATTTTATTATAATAATCTTGATATTTCACATTTGGGTATTTACTTTTTGTATTAAATTCTATAGTTGCTTTAATTTTATTTGAATAATCTGGATATTTCACATTTGGGAATTTACTTTCTCATTTTGAATTAAAAAAATTCCACTGTTTAATTTTTTAAAAAAATTTTCAAAAAAATTTTATTTTTTTAATTTAAAGTTTTTATTAATTTAAAAATTTTATGTTTTTTTTTAATTTTCATTCACAAAAAGAATTTTTTTTTTTTTTTTTTTTCTTTATTATTTTATTTACATACAAATAATTATTTATATTTTTTCATTTATTATTATAATCATTACAATAATAATCTTTAATAAAATTAATAACTTTTTATTTTAATAAATATTTTACAATAATCAACAAATAATATCTTGTATATCACATTTTACTATTTCAAAAACATAATTGAAAAATGGATTATTTAGATTTATTTTGTATTTTTATGGCTTTCTTAGGTTTTTCATTAGGTTTTTTTGGAATAAAATTCCTAAACAAAAACAAAAACAAAAACATCAACAACAACAACATCAACATCAACAACAACATCAACAACAACAACGCCTTCCCACAACAAAATTCACCAAACCGTTATACTGCTCCATTAACACAACAACAACAACAACAACAACAACAACAACAACATCAACATCAACATCAACACTGTCAAAACCCACAACCAAAGATACATTACATTTCATCAAGTTCTCTTAGTCAGATGTTTTCAGAACATTACGATAGACGTTGGGTAACTATTTTTGGATTCCCACAAGAGAAAATTGAATTAGTCGTTGATGAACTTTCAAAATTCGGAAATATACTTGAAATGAAGTACCCACATCAAACAAATGCAAATTGGGTTTATTTGAAATTTGATTCCGAAGCCACCGCATCGTATATTTTAAATTTGGGAAGTTTATCTTTCAACAAGTTTATGCTTGGTTTTGTTCCTTATAAAGATAAACTTTAAATATACATCAATTTTATATACTGCAAGCCAATAATATCCATTCATAGTCTCAAATTTTTTTTAATGTAAAAGTAAATGGTCTAAAAAGTACTTGCCCATTTTGTATAGCAAGATTTTATTCTATTAAAGTAAGTAATTCATACCCTCATATATATACCTAATAAATAAATATATATTAATTTATTTCATTAATAATTTAGCTAAAGAAAGCGGGTTGGGTGCAGACTCACCAATGTTGGAAATAGAGGTTAACAAGAAAATTTCGAAACTCTCCCTTGTGACTCCGATGATGATTCAGATATTTCATACCATAACGATATCCATTTAGTCGAGGGCGATTAAATTAATAAATTACATTCTTTATTCATATGTTTCATTTAATGAAATCGGTAAAGACAAATTATTAATTAAATCGTTTCATTCAATATTTCAATGATATCAATTTCAGTAACCTTCGTCATCCCGAAAGTAACAAAATTAACCAAATATTCAACAAACTGCGTGACAATCTTCAAGGTAGACACAACTTTTTAATTCACCACCCGCCACATTCCTTTTATGTAATCGCCATATGAAAATAGACAAGAATGCTTCCAATTATGGCCCATTCACCTCAAATCAATATTTTTTTATTTTTAAAATAGACTATCACATCACAATCCACTCAATCTTATATTCCTACAGTATAAATACCCTTAACAGCCATCACATCAACAATCCCACTCAAAAACACAATTCAGCAGTATAACAGCACACCAAAACACATTCAAATATTATATGTAAACTTAAAAATATTTCCGATTAATTTCTTTTTTGTATAATAAAATTTAATCTTTTATTTAATTTTTTAAATACTTTAAGTTTTATTTTTTTTTAAATATTTACAATATTAAAATGTATTAAGCCAAACTAAATAATATAAAAGTTTATTATATTTAATCTTTTTGGGATAACGGTCTTTTGAACAAATAAAAACAAAGTCCATTTTGGCTTTTCATTAGTTGGTTATATAATTTTTATTTTTATTTTTTTTAAAAATTTTTAAATGATTTTGAAAAATTATTTTTATCTTCACTTTTAAAAAAAAAAAAAAAAAAATTAAGAGTTATACGACGATCAAAAATTTGAAAATACATATAAAAGAACTCGACTATAAAAATCTAAATAAAATTATAATTATTAATAATTTTAAAAGTACTTATAAAATTTAAATCAAATTAAAAACATAAAAATATTAAAAGAAAATGCTTTAAATTAATCAGCAAAAAGATAATTAAAAGCAAATTCTTTAAATTATTCAGTAAATTAACTCTTTACATAACCAAACCCAAACTTGATATATATAATAAGTGGTGATTACATTATATTTTTTTTTTTTTTTTTTTTTTTTTTTTAAAAAAAGTGAATAATTAAAATAAAATAATTCTTCAAATATCATAAATATATCACCGGGAAGGAATGAAAAAATTAAAAGCTCCCCATTCGGGAATCGAACCCGAGGTACCAGTGTGAAAGACTAGAGTGTTACCGACTACACCAATGAGGATATTAGATGAACTCAAAAAATTATGACTCCGATTAGGTTTGAACAAATAAAGAAGAAGTTTAAATTAATGATTTAAAGAAATTTCCCTTTTGCTAAGTTGGGCACCTCACGCCTTAGTTGTGCATAGTGCACTTTATTACAAACTTGTGTTTCTAAACTATATTTCTATTATAACTATATTTCTTTATTAAACTTAGTAATAATTATATTTTATTCTATAATTGCTGAAATTCCGAGTGAAGCTTTAACTGTAACCGTCTTTCAGATATGGGCTCCATCACAAACTCTCAAATATGACTGTTTTTCCCTTGTGAGACATTGCAAGTAAATCATCAAATGAGATCACCAGTAAAAACTATTATAGATAAGTTTAATGAAGCCAATAAGAAGTCATTTGAGGAACCAATAATAAGATTAGCCACACTAAAAACAAGAGGAAACATCTCCAAATACAACACAAATTTATCGAAATTATCAAAAAAGTCTTACAGCCAAGAGAAGACCATTTGGAAATAATAGAAGAAAGAGTCGGATAATTATTTTTAAACTCCTAAAAAGACAGTGATATAGACACAAATCTAACAAAAAAAAACCTCCTCAACAGAGGAAAAAAAAAAAAATTAAATAACTAAAACGAATTAAAATTAAATAAATAAATTAATCTATATTTAATGTTATATTTGTGACAAAATAATTTTTAATATATTTTATATTTTTGGTTTTATTAATCTTAATTTGGAAATTTAACTGAAATTATAATTAAGACCTCTATTTTTAAAAAATATCTAAACAATATATTTTAAACTAAATTTATATTATCATAAAAATAAAACGCATGTATCAGCGAAAATTTACAAATTAAATTAAAATGAAATAATTTAAAAATAAAAAAAAATTTCTTTGTTTATTTGCAAATCTTTTAAATTTTATATAAGGAAAATCAAATACACTTTTAAAATAAATAATCTTTTGTTTTTTTTTTTTTTTTAAAATTTTTATTTTTTTTTTTTTTTAAAATTTAAAAATAAAATTGAAATTTAAATGATGATAATCATTTTTTCTGTAAACTAACTTTTTTATATGACAAAAAAAAAAAAGAATTTATGTATTATTATTATTATTATTATTATTTAATTTAGTTTAGTTTTTCTTTTCGGTGAAATCAGCTTCTTGGGTGTTGTTTGATTGGTTGTTGTTGTTATTGTTGGTGCTGTTTGATTGTGAGATTTTAGCTTTGTAGGCAGCTTCGAATGATGAACGAGTCATATCGTGTAATTTTTTAATTTCAGATTCAATAGCTGAACCATCTTCTTTGGTTAAGGCATCACGAACAACTTGAACTTGAGCTTTAATTTCATCGTTTTGTTGAGCATTTAAGTAATCTTTGAATTCAACTAAATCTTTTTCGACTTGATAGACAACACTTTCACCATTGTTACGGGCTTCGACTAATTCCTTACGTTTACGATCGACTTCAGCGTTCATTTCTGATTCTTTAAGGATACGAGCAATATCGTCTTTGCTTAAACCACCAGAGGTTTGGATTCTAATTTGTTGGGCTTTACCAGTTGCTTTGTCTTTAGCGATGACTTGTAACATACCATTAACATCAATATCGAAAGTGACTTCAATTTGTGGAACACCTTTTGGTAATGGTGGGAGACCGAATAAAGTGAATTTACCGAGGAGTTTGTTATCAACGGCCATTTCTCTTTCACCTTGGAATACTTTAATTTCGACTTCTTGTTGACCATCTGAAGCAGTTGAGAAAACGTCAGTCTTTGAGGCTGGGATATTAGTGTTCTTTTTAATTAATCTAGTGAAGACACCACCGAGAGTTTCAATACCAAGTGAGAGTGGAGTAACATCGACTAAAACAATACCTTTAGTGTCACCTTTGAGGACACCACCTTGAATAGCAGCACCAACAGCGACAGCTTCATCTGGGTTAACACCTTTGAATGGTTCTTTACCGAAAACGGTTTTAGCTAATTCTTGAACTTTTGGCATACGAGTCATACCACCGACTAAAATGACTTCGTTGATTTCGTTGATGTTCATTGAAGCATCTTTAAGACAGGTTCTGCATGGATCGACGGTTCTATCAATTAATTTAGAGACGAGTGATTCGAATTTGCTACGAGTTAATTTCATGTTGAAATGGACTGGACCTGATGGACCGGCACTGATGTATGGAAGATTGATTTCAGTTTGGATGGTTGATGAAAGTTCGCACTTGGCTTTTTCAGCAGCTTCTCTTAAACGTTGAGTGGCCATGCTGTCCTTTGATAAATCAATACCTTTTTCTTTTTGGAATTCTTCAATGAAATATTTGAGTAATTCGTTATCAAAATCTTCACCACCAAGGAAAGTATCACCATTAGTAGCACGTACTTCGAAAACACCACCGACAATTTCTAAAATTGAAATATCAAATGTACCACCACCTAAATCGTAAACAGCAACAGTCTTTGGATCTTCTTTCTTGAAACCATAAGCTAAAGCAGCAGCAGTTGGTTCATTGATAATACGACGAACATTTAAACCTGAAATTGTACCAGCATCACGGGTAGCTTGACGTTGAGCATCATCGAAATAAGCTGGAACGGTAATAACAGCGTTGGTAACTGGACCACCTAAATTGGTTTCGGCGGTTTCTTTCATCTTTTGGAGAACCATAGCACCAGCTTCTGATGGTGAAATCATTTTACCTTTAACTTCAACCCAAGCATCACCATTTGGACCTCTAACAATTTTATATGGGACCATAGTCATATCTTTTTTGGTCATTGGATCATCGAAACGACGACCAATTAAACGTTTGGTGGCAAATAATGTGTTTTCGGCATTAGTAACCATTTGTCTTTTAGCTGGTAAACCAACAATTTTTTGACCATCTTCAGTGAAGGCAACAACTGATGGAGTGGTACGACCACCTTCAGCATTTTCTAAAACACGAGCATCAGCACCATCCATAACGGCAACACATGAATTGGTAGTGCCTAAATCAATACCAATAACATGACCTGAAACTTTTGATTCTGAACAGAATGATCTAATGCCATTAGCCTAAAATATAATATAATATAATTTAATATTAATATTTTATTTATTAATTATTAATTAATTTTTTTTATTTTATTTTATTTTTTTTTCGTAAATTTCAAAAATTAATTTATTCATTTTATTATTTTATTATTTTTCATTGTAATGTTTGTTATTATTCATCTATTGACACTTACACTGTTGTTTGATTTTAAAACTTTTGAAAATGATCTTAACATTTTTAATTTATTCCTATTCAATTTAAATAAATAAAATTAATTATGTATATAAATAAAAAAAATAAAAAAATTAAAGTAAAAAAAAAATGAAAAAAAAAAAATTAAAAATATTTTCTTTTCGAAACGAAAAAAAAAAAAAAATTACAAAAATTAAAAAAAATTAAAAAAAAAAATTAAAAAAAAATTTTTGTTTGGTAATTATTACTTGTTAATCATTTAATTTTCATGGGTATTTAGCATGCTAAATTCAAAAAACGCTAACGTTATAAAATGATTTTTTTTTTTTTTTTTTTTTTTTAAATTAATTTTATTAAACCTCATTTATTTATTTTAGTTTATTAAAAAATAAATTGAAAATAAAAAAAATAAATAAAAAATCTATTGTATCTATGAAAAAATAAAAAGAAACTAACTTCACACACACCCATTTTTACGAAAAATTTTTAAAATTTTATTTCTTTTTTTTTTTAATAATTTATTTTTATTTTTTCAAATAATTTAATATCTATAAACAGTTCTTTAATTTGATAATTACAATCTTTTGATTTTTTTTTGAAAAAACAGAGAAAAAAACTTGAATGAAAAAAAAAAAAAAAAAAAAAACAAATTAAAAATGATTAATATTTATGTGTCCAAAATTTTTATTATTTTTAAATTAAATAAAATTAAATAGCTGGGTAAATTTAGGTCCATGGACACACAGGATAAACATCTTTAGTGGTAAGACGTTCAATATTTATTATTTATATTATTAATTTTATATGTTTTTTTTTAAAAAAAAATTTAATATAAATATTTATTATGTTTTAAAATATATTAGAATGTTTTAATTAATATTCATTGGGGTGTTTTTAATCCATTTGATAAAAACCAAACATTTCATTAATAGATATACATTAAATAAAAAATTAAAGAAATCATAATAGGAAATATTACTCGTATCTATATGTGCATATAAAACAATATTATTTATATTATTGATGTTAACCATATACAGAAGAAATATAAAAAAATAAAAAAGGAAAAACTAATATAATTAAAATTATTTTTTTTTTTTTAATTTACAAAACCTCAATAATAAAGAAATTTTATTTTTGTATATTTAGATGTGTGTGTTGTCTTCAAATTTTAGGAATCTTTAAAAAATGAGAATAAAAAAGTGGGGTAAATGTTTTTGAAAAAATAAAAAAATAAAAAAATTTAAAATATATAGAAATAGATATTTATATATGTATTTATTAAAAGTTTAAAAATTAAATTTCATTATTTTTTATTTTATATAATTCTATAATAATATTTTTTAAAAAGATGAAGTTTGTTTATAGTATATTATTTATAGTTTTTTTTATTTGGGTAAATAAAATAAAATCGATAGAGAGTAGTGTGGGTGATGAAGATAATAATAAAGTGATTTTAAAAGAGTTGAATCAAGAGTGTGATCCTTTTTTAAAAGATTGTAAATTTGGTAGTAGTTGTATAAATTTAAATGGAAAGAATAGATGCATACTGGAGCAGAGCGAGGTGGGGGGGTATTGTAATGAAACTGTTAGGTGTAAATATAGTTTGGAATGTATTGAAAATATATGCAAAAATAGTCACTTTTTATTTGTAGGCGAAAAATGTTATGGCGATTATGAATGTATATCGACACTACCCACTGGAATTATTAAATGTGTTGATGGTATTTGTAGAAAACCCAAAGGTGTTAATAATTGCACTTCAAATCAAGAGTGTCCTATTGGTACAGTTTGCCATTATATAAATGAACCTAATGATTATAGTAGCAATAGTAATAGTAATAGTAATTATAGTAATAAAAAGTTAGTTAGTGGCTATTGTGAAGTTGGTGGTAAAAAGGGTGAGTTATGTCATAATGAATCATACCCGTGTAAATCTGGTTTACTGTGTCAGAGTGGTAACGATGATGATTTTGGAATCTGTACTGAATATTATAATGGTATCGAAGGATCTAATTGTAAATATAACTATCAATGCCAATTGCATAATGGTCTATATGTAAGCTGATTTTACCTATACTATGTGGTGATTTTAAAAAGTTAGTGCTAATTTTTAATAATTATTTAGTGTAGTAATTTTAAATGTAAAAAATATAATAGGGTCGATAATAAAAAAGAAAGCTGTGGTGAATGTAGTGATTATTTTGAATGCGAAAAAAATGGTAATGAATCAAACAATAGCGACAATAGTCCACAATGTAGACAATATACATACCTGCCTGGATCCGAATATTTTAAAAAACTATATCAAATACAAAAATGCAAATCGTTATATGAAATACCCGACACAAATGAAATTAACTATAGTCAATATTCGCCCAAATCATACTTTTCTAAAAAATGTGGAATTGAAATATGCTCATCTAATATTGGTATTGATGAGTCTAGTTTATCATACAAATTAAACGATTCAATATATACAACTGGTTTTAAAATAAGACAAGAAAGGGACAAATATAAATTTAATGACTATTGCCTACATACCATTGATGAGATAAAAAAACTAAACAACTATTCTCCATCCCTAATATTAGATAGAAATAATAATAGTGGGGTTTTTATAAAATTGACCATTATTATTTTATCAATATTATTATTTATTTAATTATTTGTTAAACAAATATAATTATATAATAAAATTATTTAAAATTATTTTTAATATACTATTATTTTAGTAATATTGGGGGGTATGTGTTATAGTGGGTGAACTTAATAATTATTAAAATAAATCTGTTGACGCATAAAATTTTTTTTATTTTTTATATATAAATGATAATTATAATTATTTTGTTAATTTTTTTTTTTTTACTATATTAAATTTTAATTTCTATATTTAAAATTATTAAAAGGGAATAAAGAGAACTGTTTTTAGTAAAATAATTTTGATAGAGTTTAATTTAATTTAAATAACTATTTTATTTTTATTTTTTTAATATTTTTTTAAAAATTTTTTTAATTTTTATTTTTTTAAATTTTTTTAAATTTTTTTTATTTTTTTTTTTTAATTTTTTTGAAATTTTGTTTGAAAAAATTTAAATTTTTTTTTTTTTTGTAGCAGTTAGATAGACGAGAAGTTGTCAAGGATTGTGTGTAGAAGGTATTTATTGAACTAAAATAGAATCTATAGAAATAAAGAGAAATTCAAACAAATAAAACTATTTTCAAATATAAATAAAAAATACTTGATATAAACATAAATATAATAAACATAAATAAATATAAATAAAAAAAAAATATCAAATAAAAATAAAAAAACAATAGGAATTTATTCAAAAAAAAAAAAAAAAAAAAAAATCAAATTAAATCAAACCAATCTAAAAATAAAAAAAAAATCGAAAATAAATATATCCAAAAAAAAAATGAATAAAATAAAATTACAACGAAATTAAATTAAATTAAATTAAATAAAATAAAACAAGAATTATAAATAAATTATTGAAGATACAGTTAATCAAATTTCATAAAAGAAAAAAATAAAATTTTTTTAAAAATTTCTCCTGCATAAAATAAAAAAAAAAAAAAACGAAATGGTATTAATATAATTTTTTTTAAATAGATAAAGATGTCAGAAATTAAATGTTATAAGTAGGTTATACAACAAATGCAGGTATAGAACCTGACATAAATTATTGGTTATTAACTATTTTTTTTTTTTTTTATTCAGATGTAAACAAACTGGTCACATTTCACGTGAATGTACCTCAACTGAACCAAAAGCTTGTTACACTTGTAACAGTACCGAACATCTCTCAAGAGAATGTCCACAAAACCCAAACCCAGCCCCAGCTTTTGAAAAAAAAGAAAACAGCGTTAAATGTTACAACTGTAATGGTTTTGGTCATATGGCTCGTGATTGTAAGTTGAGAAATTCATTTTTCTTTTGTATTATTATGGTATTCTAATTAATATTATTGTTTAATAGGTCGTAAAGGTTCAAGAGATAACAATAAATGCTTCAACTGTGGTGGTGTTGGTCACATTTCAAAGAACTGTAGCTCACCAAGAAGAGAAGCTAGAGATAGCAATAGCTCAAAATGTTACAGCTGCGGTAAATTTGGCCATATCGCCAAAAACTGTGATCAACCAGTCCAAAATTAAATTATTGATCACAAATTTAATTTAGAAAAAAGAAAAAAAAAAAACAACAATTGTTTACATAAAAAATAAAAAATAAAAAAAATAAAAAAATATTAAAAATCTTTTTTTAAAAAAAAAAGTATTATTTGTTTAGAGACCAGTGTTTGTTTTTTATTGTTTGAGATCGAAAATGGGGTATCAAGATTATAAATATAATATCAATATTTGGTATATCAGATTTTTAAAAGTTGGTTTTACCACTGCTTTATATAAAATAGTTTTAAAGGTAAAGTTTAAAGGCCATCAAATAGATAAATTAAAATGGATATCTTTTATTTATTTTATTTTTTTTTATTTTTTTTTTTTTAACTTTTTTTATAAAAATCTTTTTATTTTTTTTTTATTTTTTTTTTTTCAAATCCACAAACTTTTTTATAAAAATCTTTTTTTTTTTTTTAAACAATAAATTTTTATTTCATCCATCCACATTTTTTATATTTATTTGTGTTATAACAATGATGATTTTTAAATTATAATTTAAATAATACATTTTCTATAGTTTTGTAATAATAGTTTCAATTATGTTTTTTTTAGCAATTAATAAAAATAAATTCATTTATATCGGGGGTGTCAGCAGTATAGCAATTTTAGGATTAATATATTATTTAAAAAATAAATATAACTTTAGTTTAAAAAATTTATTAAAATTTAAACTAGATAAACAAGATAAACAACAAAAACAACAAAAAAAACAAAAACAACAAAAACAAGAACAATTACCAAAAAATAATATAAGATATTTATCATTAGAAGAATTTTTAAAAGAAGAGGAGGAAGAGAATAAAAACAATAGTTATAATAAAGAAATGGTCTCACAGCAATTAAGTGAAATTAGAAAAAAGATTAATGATTTTAACAAGTTAAGTTTCCCAACTAAACAAGGTTTATTATTCAAGAAAAGTAGATACTTAAAGGAATGGAGATGCAGATTTTTTGCAATTCAAGATAATATTTTATTTTATTTTGATACCAAGAATAGCGTTCCAACAGGTCATCCATTGGGTATGTTTAATTTATTGGATTGCCAATTCACATTAATCCAAAATGAAAAGCGTCCCAATGTATTCAAAATCCTTGAACAAAAAACAGGAAAGAATTGTTTAATCTCTTGTGAAAATATTGAAGAGTTTCAAAATTGGTTTGCAATATTGCCACAAATTCAACAAATAGTATTGAAAAGGGAACAGATTTGTATTAAACTTCAGTCATTAATTAGAAAGAAACAACAGGCCAAACGTTTTAGAGAGTTAAAGGAAGCATCTGTCCAAATCCAAAAGTTTTATCACCATCACGAGGGTCACAGAAAATTTGCTCGTTTTGTACATAATGTAATTAAAGTTCAATCTATAGTTAGAGGTTTCTTACAAAAGCTTAGATATAGAAGAATCAAAACTCAAGTATTGGTTATTCAAAGTCACTTTAATACAATTAAATTAAAAAATAGATTAGAAAAAGAATGTTTGTATTAAAAAATATATATAACTATGTTTATTAAGATAAATTAAATGATAGATTATTAACCAGTTTAATTAAAATCTAGTTACTAGAAAACGTATTGTTCAAGAGTTATTAGCAACTGAAAAATCATATGTTTACAACTTAAAGTTAATTATTGATATTTTTATTAGACCTCTAATGAATTTCCATTCAATTGAGCAAAAGGTATTATCATTATCAGAAATTAGTGGTGTATTTGGTAATTGGGAACAGCTTTATAAAATTAATTCAGAGTTTTTAAAATTAATTCAAGGCAAATTTGATACATGGCACACTGAACAATTAATTGGTGATATATTTATATCAAATGTAAGTAATAGTAATAATAGTAGTAGTAGTAACAATAATTAAAGTAGTATACTAATTATTTAATTTATTATTTTCAGACTGATTCTTTATTACAATATACACCTTATGTTACAAATTTCGAATTCTCAAGAAAATTATTAGATAAATTAACTGCTAGTAATATAAACTTTAGAAACTTTTTGGATGCAGCCCAAAGAGACAAGAGAAGTAAATATTTAGATATCTCATCATTTTTGATTCAGCCAGGTAAATATAACTTATAATACATGTAAATTAAATAAATATAAATATTAATTTAGTTTTTAAATAATAATTATAGTTCAAAGATTACCAAGATATGAGCTTTTACTAAGAGATTTAAATAAAAATACCTATGATAGTCACCCTGATAAAGAAAATTTAGTCAAAGGTATTTCCAAAGTAAAAGAAATTACAATGTATGTAAATAATCAACAAAAAGAGCGTGAAAATCTTTCACAAGTAATTCAAATCCAACAAGAGTTAATATCCGATAATGGTAAAATCTCATTCTCTTCAGCCACTCGTTTGATAAGACAGGGTGATGTTAAAGTTTCAAAAAAGAAATGGAATTATATGTATTTATTCAACAGTCAATTAGTTATAATTCAAAAGAAAGATGAAAAGAAACTAGTAAAAGAAATTATTCAATTGGATTGTTTGGGTATCAGAGATGAAACTGGTGTCGATATCAATTTATCAAATGGTGATTTAAATCAAAGTTTCACCACCTCCATGGGTGGTCCATCATCACCTGATATTTATGCTATCAATACAAGTTCATCTGCTTTACCCATTGGTATATCTGGTAATAAATTCAAAATCGTTATTAATCAGAAAGTTGAATATTCACTTTATTTCGATACTCCTGAAGAGAGAGATGGTTGGTTTACCGATATTGCTGTAACTTTAAATCGTCTTGAAATTTTAAACTCTTCGACAAAATCAAAATAATTTAGCCTTAATTGAAACTCCATCTTTCAAAATATTATTATTAAATTAAATAATATTAATATACCTGTATTTTTAGAAATAACCAAAATAAATAATAATTTAAAACTTTTTTTTTTTTATAGTTTCATTGTTTTTTATTTAAAAATATTGTACATTTATTTATATATTATTTATATTATTGTTAATCTTTATTTATAAATAGGTTCCTGTAACATTAATATTTTTCATATTTGCAAAAGCTGTATATAGTTTTAAAAAATAAAAAATTAGTATTTCTTTTGGGGGTGTGGTGTTTTTATTATTACTATTATTTATTATTTGTTATTTATTATTTATTATTTATTATATCATACACATTTCAGAGACACCAGTATTAGTATCAATGGTAAGTTTTTCTTGAATATCAGCATCCATCCACCAAACTAAATCTTTAATTTGAAATTGTTTGCAGATTTGGTTAATTGGAAGTTTGCCATTAACTAAATTGAAGTTACCTTCTTTAAGAACAGTTCCACGAATATTGACAAGATTAACTTTAATTGGTGATGACATTTGTTTCTGATTATATATTATGAAATATTAATATTAATGATACTAGATAAAAAATAAAAAAATTAAAAAAAAATAAAATAAAAAAAAAAAAAAAAAGAAAATATTTTATTTTTTTGAAAAAATTATTTTTTACAAATAAAAAAAATTTAAATGAAATTATTAAAATGGGTTTTGTTTTTGAAAATTATTCATGTATCTATAAATATATTTCTTTATGAAATATAGTTCAGAAGAGCTCAATAAAACAAATTTTATAATTCAATCAAAAATAGGTTTAAATTATATAAATTATAATGGATGTTGATGAGAAGATGCATTTTTCCAATACTGATTGGAAAAAAAAAAAAAAAAAAAAAAAAAATTTTAAAATTAAAATTCAATAAAAATAAAGATTTAATATTTAAAAATGTTTTTTTTTTTTCTTCAAAAAAACAAGTGCATCTTCATAAAAAAGAAAAAAAGTTTATTAAAAATAACAAGGTAAAATATTACTTGTATATATAAATAGGTGTGAGTGAGTGGGTGTGAGAGTATTTTTATTTTATTATGTATTTTGTTTTTTTGAATGAAGGGGTAAGACAGTTGGTGGGGGTGTGGGTAAATTTTAATAGATCGCACATTGGTGACTTTTCTAACAATCAATAGCTTTTTTTTTTTAAGTTTCTTAAATTTTTGATAATGTTATAATGACGACATTGTTTATTATAATTAAGTTTAAAATACACTTTGGTCATATAATTTTCTACACAATTTTTTTATTTTCAAAAGCTTTAAAAAGAGAACTTTTTTTTCAATTTAATTACCATTATTATTATTATTATCATTATCATCAAAATAAATTTCTAAATCTTTATCTTTATTAATTATAGTTTTAGAAACCTAAATTATTTGCTGGAAGTCCCGTACCTGTTAAATAGTTTAGGTTAACTATATATTTCTTTTTATTTCTCTTTTTCATAAGTTGTGTAAACTTATGCTAGTCCACTTAAAATTTAAAAAAGGTATAGAAACAATAAATAAACAAGCTAATCAACAGTATATTGGTGGATTTTATGTATAAGTTTTGAATGGAAAATCAGGATAATTACGTAAGATGATAATATCTATATAACCTACAAAAACAATAAAAAATTATATTAATTTTAATTTCCATTTTTCCATTTATTTTTCTTTTATATAGGAAATATCATTCTTTGTCTTGCCTCTGAGAAGGTCTGATTATAAACTAGGACATTGAAAGGGTTGATAAAATAATTGATACCAGAAGGTTCTGATAGGCTCCCAATAATGGTCCCCGGAAAATATTTTCCACAATAGCTGTGCCAGGATCTCTGTAGAAAAAAAAAAAAAAAAAATAGAAACAACCTAATAATTATTTAAAATAATAATAATCATTAATTTTAAAATAAGAAAATAAAAGTTATTTTAAAATTAAACCCAAATATTAATATATTTTTTTTTTTTAATAATAATTTTATATGTTTTATATATTTTAAATTAAGATAAACAACTTAAAAAATATCTTTTAATGACAGTTAAACTTTTTTTTTTTTTTTTTTTAAAATTTTTTTTTTTGATTTCATTTTTTATTTTTTATTTTTTTTTGATTTCTATCCATTTTTTAAAAAATTTTTAAATAAAATGAATAAAAAAAGAGAAAGGAATAATTGTAATAATACAAGCAATTATAATAGTACCAATAGTAATAATAATAATAATAATAAAGTTAATAATATATCATATAATAATAACAATATAAATGATAATAATAAAAATCATACTGTAGATTTTTTACAACATATTTGGAGAAATCAATATATTAAATCAGAAATATTAAAATATTATATAAATAATAAGGTTTATATTACAAATAGAAAGCAGCTTTTAGAGTATGAATATAGAAATCATATTTTTATATTAATTTGTGATATAAAGGATGAGTTATTAAAAAAAGATGATATTCCAGCTTCAGTAAAGATATTGGTATTATTGGATAGATGTGAACAACCAAAAGAAAGGGGAGTCATACCAAATACAATCGAAACGTTATATTATGGTGTTGGTTTAGAGTCATTGGATCAAACAGTCAATATAAAAGAATTTAAAAATTTATCATTATCACCAATTAAAATTACAAAACCTTTATTTTCATCTTTCAATGAGCCTTTAAAAGTGGGTGTTATTCCAATGGGTGTCAAGAGAGTTGTTTTTGGTAATAAAATAAATCAGCCATTAAAAATTGGCTCGATACCAGACGGAGTAGAGTCAATTGTGTTTGGTAATAGATTTAATAACTCGGTTACACCGCAAGGTATAATACCAACATCGTGCAAATCAATAGTTTTTGGCGAAGAGTATAACAAAAAATTAACGATTGGGTCCCTTCCCGACAGCTTAGAGTATCTTTCATTTGGTTCAGAGTTTAACGAAGAAATACAGATAGGTGAAATTCCTAATAGAGTCCAAACAATTAAATTTGGAAGAAAATTTAATCAGTTAATTAATGAACATGTTTTGCCACAGAGTGTCACATCCATTACATTCGGTGAATGGTATAATAAAATTCTTTTACCACATTCTTTGCCACCGTTTCTAGAGTATCTAGCACTTGGTTCGTCTTATAACAGACCAATCAAAGATGTCATTCCAGCTTCGTTAAAGTCATTATCATTAGGGGGTTATTTTAACCAAACATTGGCAGAGGGTGACCTACCACTTTCTCTAGAGTCTCTTGTATTTTCAAATAATTTTAACAAGCCCATTAGAGTTGGTTCAAGGTTAGTGATCCCACCTAATGTTCATACAATAGTTTTTGGGAATGGTTTTAACCAGGCTCTATATGAAGGCGATCTTCCTCTTTCTCTGACATCTCTTTCTTTTGGCCAATGTTTTAATCAAATTCTAAATAAAGGGTGCATACCACCTAATGTACATACACTTGTGTTTGGTAATAGCTTCAATCAAACATTAAACAAAGGTGATTTACCACCTAGTATCACATCTCTTTCGTTTGGCCAATGGTTCAATCAACCAATTAGAGATGTAATACCACCCAGTATTACTTCCCTTTCTCTAGGTAACAAGTTTGATCAAGATTCATACAAACTATTAATTGCATTACCTTTACTAGAAACACTAAAGATTGGTGAAAACTTTGATCCTAAATTTAAAAATGGAATTCCAAGCTCACTTCATACTTTGATTATACCAACTCACTATCCAGAAGAAAAATTAGGCATTAAAAGTAAAAAAATAAAGATTTTAAAATATTATGCTTCTTATTAAAGTTATTATAAAAAATTAAAAACAATAACACAAAAATTTGAATAAATAATTAATACATAGTTTATTTTATAATCAATAATAATCTTTTTTATTATAAATTAGTTTTTTGATAAATAGGGAATTTTCTTTTTATTTTTTATTTAATTTTTAAAAAAAAAAATTTATTAATTAATGATAAAATCGACAGTGTATTTTTCATCGTCAAATTTTCTTTTTTATTTAAAGTTATCATTACAGATAAGCTCATAAAACTTTAGTTATTTAAAAATATTTTTAATCATATAATAATATATTTTTTATTTTAAAAAATCATTTATAGGCAGTTGCATTTTTTATGCATACTAGTACATTAATTTGTAAGTATAAAACACCCCCTATTTTAAAATTATTCTCGATATAGTGGATATCAAAAGTAAATTGTAGACAAAGAATAATCATAGTAAAAAATAGATGTTTAATAACCAATTAAAATAACTCCATAATAATAGTTTTATATTTTTTTAATTATTTTTTACCAAAATAATAAAAATATTTTTTCACACGTTAAAATAAAATCTGTAAAATATTTTAATGGACCCAATAATATTATTTTAGCCGAAATAATAAAAATTTAATAATTTTGTGTTGTGTCATTATAAAGTTTTTATTTTATCTCTTTAAATAGAATATAACCTTATAATTACAAAAAGTTTTTTTGAAGTTTAAAAAAAACTGTTGGTTTAATTATTGTTATTTTTATATAAAGTTTTTCATATATATTTCAAAAAAAAAAAACAAAAAAAAATAAAAATAGTTTTAGTGTTTATGTGTTCAATAATTTCACATTAAATTTACCTATATTTTTTTTATTTGGGGTTATATCACAATAGATTATTCAAAGAAAATAAAAAATTTTTATTTAAAATATATTTTTTTTTTAAAAAATATTCATATTTTTTTTGATTTATCGACAGAGGATAAAAAAATAGAAATTTATTATAAAATTTCTTTTCAAAATAAAAACAAAACCCCAATAGTTTTTTAAAAAAATAAATTTTTTATTATAAATTATAAAAAAACAACTAAAAGTCAAAAAACAAAAAAAAAAAATCATCACATAACACACTTGCACAAAATATATTTCTCTTTTATATATATATTTTAATATTTTTTATTTATTTAAAAAATGACAAAATTATTTTTTAAATTATTTTTAGTTATTGCAGTTTCAAGTATACTTTTCTTTGCATCTGCCTATGGTAATGAAGAAGCATTTCCAGTAAAATGTACCAAATTACTCTGTCCAAGAATTCAATGTGACAATCAAACAGAATATGAATATTTACCACCAGGTGAGTGCTGTAAAAAGTGCGCTTTAAGATGTGAATTGGTAGATTGTATGCCCCCAAAATGCCCAAAAGGAGTAAATCCAATCAAAAAGAATCCAACTGACTGTTGCTTATCATGTCCAGTTGATTGTAGAACAGTCAAATGTGGTATACCAAAATGTGCAAAGGTAGGTTTAATATTTTTTATTATAATACTTTAAAATAAAATTTTTAATAATATATTTTTAAGGGTTTCGTTGCAAAAGTTAAACCAGGTGAATGTTGCTCAACTTGTGTCAGAGATTGCCCAATTTGTCCAATTGTTGATTGTATGCCAGGTTATATCCCATATACATCTGATGAATTTTGTTGTACAAAATGTAAACAAGATTGTAAGTTTTATTTTTCAATTTTTAAATTTAAATATAGTTAAAATTAACTTATTTTATTTTTTAGGCCGTTTGGTAAAATGTGCTATGCCAATCTGTTCAGATGGTCAAGAACCAATTAAAAAAGACAATGAATGTTGTTATAAATGCCCAACAGTAAACTGTGATGCTGTTAAGTGTGCAAGACCATTATGCAAAGATAATGAAGAACTTTATACACCTGAAGGTCAATGTTGTCAAATATGTAAACCAAAACCAACTAAATGTAATTAAAAATATTATAGTTTGTTGAAAAATTGATTTATTACTATATTAACAAATTTTAATTATTTTTTAGGCCCAATTTGTCCAATTGTTGATTGTGCACCTGGTTTTGTACCATATACATCTGATGAATTTTGTTGCACCAGATGTAAAGAAGATTGTACATTGGTAAAATGTGCATACCCAACATGTGCTGATGGCCAAACTCCAGTTAAAAAGGATAATGAGTGTTGTTATAGATGTCCACCATTAGATTGTTCAGCTGTTCAATGTTTGAGACCTATTTGTAATAAAACTGAAGAAATTTATACTCCAGAAGGCCAATGTTGTCCATCATGTAGACCAAAAATATGTTTGTATAAAAATAATGAAAATGATTAAAAATGGAAAAAAGTTACTAACTTTTGTAATTAAATAGGTCCAATAGTAGACTGTGCACCAGGTTATGTCTCATATATATCAGATGTTGATGGTTGTTACAAATGTAAACAAGATTGTAAGTTTAAACATTTCCTAACAAAATATATTATATTTAATATTAATAAAAAATTTAAAAAATTAGGTCGTTTAGTTAAATGTCCATACCCAACATGTGAAGATGGTGCAACCCCAGTTAAAAAAGAAGAAGAATGTTGTTATAGATGCCCACCAGTTAATTGTGCTGTTGTTTTGTGTCCAAAAGTAGAATGCCCTGAGGTTCAAGAAAAATATACACCTTCAGATCGTTGTTGTCCAATTTGTAGACCAATTCCACTATTTAAATTATAATAAATAAATTATAATCATTCTTTTTATTTAAATAATCATTATTTCGTTAAGATAACTATTATATAAGATATAGAAAAAAAGTAAAAAATATTTAAAAAAATTTATTCTTTTCAATTTAAAAAAAATATTATCTTTTTTGTATTATTATTTGTATTATTTGTATTATTATTAATTATTATTAATGTTTATGAAGGAGCAGGTAAAAGACTCTCTAATCTTTTTAAAATTCTTTTTAAAATTGAAGAATCGATTCTATTTGCTAATAAATTTATACTGTAAAGAGAATGGTTCTTAATTAAATTATCCACTATCGATATAGCGCCAATTGAACCGATTTTATTATTATAGAGTGACAGCCTTTTAAGAGTTGAGTTTAGCGGAAAAATTTCAGATATTGCAGAGGCACCTTGATCTCCGATCGAGTTTGAAGATAAATCTAATGATGTTATTGTTTTATTTGTTTTAAGGGGTTCACTTATTTTTTGAGCACCAATTGGACCTATTGAATTGTATGACAAGTCTAAAAATTCGATTGTATTATTTTTCTCTAATAGAGGCACAAGGTATTGCGCACCTTCGACTGTAATTGAACTTTGTGATAAGCTAATTGAAACAATTGATTTGTTTTTGATTAAAGCAGCTGAGAGTGATTCCAAACCCCCATCACCAATTAAATTAGAAGATAGCTCCAATGAGGTTAAGGTACTATTCATTTCAATAGATTTAGAAAGCTCGATTGCGCCTTGTTTTTCTAGATTATTACAAAATAGATTTAGATGCTTTAGGGAGCAATTGGACAAAAGAGCTTTACCAAGATAGCCAGCACCTCTTTCACAAATAGTATTGTTTGAGAGATCAATAGATTTAATCGATGAATTTGAATTATTTAGGAATGCTTGTGAGATATCCATTAGGGCACTAGAGTCAATCCAATTTATAGACAAATCTAAATTTGTTACACTTTTATTATATAATACAATATCAGAGAATGCTATGGCACCACTAGACTCGATGGAGTTTGAATTTAAATCGATATTTGTTATTTTTGTATTTGGATTGAATGCTATTGCTTTCGCTATTAATGTTGCACCTATATTTGAAAATTTATTTGAAGAGAAATTGATATCTGTTAAACTTGAATTCTTTGATAAACCATGAGCTATAAACTCTGAGCCACGACCTTCTATTAAATTTCTTTGTAAATTTAAATGTAATAAAGTTTTGTTTTTTGCCAAAGCTTCAGCGATCAATGGTACACGTTCAAATGAAATCCTATTGCTTGATAAATTTAAACTTGTTAAAGAATGGTTATCACGTATCATTTCAGCAAATGCATGGGTACCTTCCTCATCTGGGAAATTTGAACTGAAATTTAAACTTGCTATAGATTGATTCACTTTGAGGCAATTGGCTATTTGAACTGAACCAACGCTTTTCATATCGTTGAATGATAGATTTAGAGTCTCTATACTATGGTTACACTTTAAACAATTTGCTAATTTGGTGGCAGCTTCACCATTAATTTGATTACTGGATAAATCCAAGTGTTTTAAACTAAAGTTTGTCTTTAAAATATCTGAAAACTCTCCTAAACTATTTATATATCTTCCAATTTTACATCTGTTTAAATCTAGCGAGTTTATAATTGATTGATTTGCTTTCATTATAAATGATATTATGGAAATCGTATTTGAGTACATTAAATTGATTGTCAATCTGATCTTATAGTGGTTTGGTATATCTGCTAATGTTGCTAAGTCATTTATATCAATTTGGTTAAATGATAAAACTAAATTATTTAATGTTGGATGATTTTTTATTATATTTATAAAGTTTTTTAAATTATTAGAATTTGTTGTATTATTGATATTTGATTGCGATGGTGATGATGATAATGAATTTGGTTGTGATGTTGTAGTTGAGTTTGTTGATAATGGTGACAATGGTGATGAAATAAATGATGATGAAGAAGATGAGGATGAGGATGAGGATAATGATGAAGAAGATGAGGATAGTTGATTACTATTATTTAAAATTTGTTGCTTTTGGTCCTGTGGTGGTGATTGTTGCGGTAAACCTATGACTTTTAAATTGTCTGAATTATAAATATTATTATTATTATTATTATTATTATTATTGTTATTACTATTAAAAAGTTTGCAATATGATATGTTTAATTCATTTAAAAAAAATAAATTTTGAACTATAAGTGAAAGTTGTTGAATATTGATTGTGCAATGTTTAAAGCTTAGTGAATATGTAGATTTGAAACCTATTAAGAATTTATTTACAGCTGGTTCATTTGGTATCTGTGTTTCACTAAACTCTATAGTATAAATAGTCTCTGAACAATATTTTAGCCATAGTTTATTTACCAATGATATTTGAAAATAATTTGATGATAATTCATTATTTGTTACTAGGGAAAAAATCTTTTTTAAAATAATTACAGGAAATTGATTTATATTAAGAATTTCCATTTCTTTATTTTATTACAATATACTATTATATTTATTACTTATATTATTATTATTATTATTATTATTATTATTATTACTATTACTATTATTGATTTTTTTTTTATTTTCTTTTATTTTATTATAAAAGAAAAAAAAACAGTTATTTGTATTAAATTAATACTATTTGCACACAAAAATAACACAATTAATTAATACACAAATATATTTTTTTACCCCATGTGTTTATTAATAAAAAAATTTATAAATTAAATTAAATAAAAAATTTGTAAAAAAAAAAAAATTAAAATTTAAAAAAAAAAAAAAAAAAAAAAAAATTCTTTTTTTTTTTTTATATTTTTTTCCTTTAAATCTTCTATAAACATTATACTATATAAATAGTATAATGTTATAATAATAACATTAGCAATAATAAAAACAATAAAAACAATAAAAACAATAAAAACAATAATAGAAATAATGATTATATTTAATTTCAGATAAACAAAAATTATTAAAAAAAATATATTTTAAATTTTATAATTCAAATGATATATCAGAAAAAATCACCAAATGCAAGTCCCATTTAGCAAAACTTTTTTCATCCATGCCTGAAAGTGAATTAGGCTCAACATTAGAGTATTTCATCAAGTGCCATAGGATTTTACCAAAAATGAAAACTCTATTGATAACAGAAACATCCCAAATTTATTTATGGCATATGAAAATATTCTTAAAGGCAGTAGAGAAGACTGGGCCATGGTCAAATCATTATTCTATGAATGTTTGGAACTCTCAGGCCATTTTTCAACGAAGCTCACTTTTATTTTATTAAAATACAATTTTGTATTCAGAATTACCCCAAACTTCAGAAAGATTTATCTTTAAATGTTTAAAATATGTTTGCTAATACAATATTAATATGGGGGATAGATTCATCTTTCTATAAGCTCAACAAACAATATGGAATTAGAGGTGCATAATGTACTAATCAGAACCAGAATAACCCAACTTTTCAAAATAAATAATCTATATTACTAATATAAAATAATTTGAAAATAATATGTAACTTTGGTAATCTCTCAAACTTTTGTGAAAAATTAAATAATTAAATTTTTTTTTTTTATAATTAGTTTTTTGATATTCATTATTATATATTTTTGTTTTATATTTATTTTAACTTTTATAAATGATATTTCTTTTTCAAATAAATTATTTTTAAAAATAAAAAATTTTGATTTTTTTTTTTAATTTTATTTTTTTTTATTTTTAATTTTTTTTTTTTTATAAGACCAACATTTCAATTTATCCATTTTATTTTTTTATTTTAGATGCCACAATCAAAAATGAACGATTTAAAATCTAGTGGCGATGAATTTGTTGATAACTCAACATTAGAAATAAACTATGACTTTTTATCAGTATCAATAAAACAACAATTCGAAGATTTTAAGAAACAAAAGAACAACAATAATGGAAGCAATAATGATAGTGAAGAGTTAAACATTGCCACCACTAACAACACCAATAACAATGATGATAAAACAAATAGAAATAAATTATTTTCACAAATTAAAGAAATAGATAAAAACTCAATAATGCTAATAGAAACTTATTATAGAGACAAATTAATAACATATCAAGAAAAGTATGTAGTTTATATATATATTGTGTAGATAGATATTCAATAAAATTATTTATTTATTTACTAACTGTGTCTTTATATAAAAAATTAGATTAAAGAAAGAATTAGAATTTATATATAGTAAAAAATTAGAATCATTAAAAGATCAATATGATAAAAACTCTTATTTAAAACTAAAAGAGTTAGAATTATGGACAAAAAAATCATTATTAAAACTATTGATACAGTTTCAAGATTTAAAAAAACAAAGACAAAATAATAATATAGATATAGATATAAATAATATTAATAATAATGATATAAATAAAAAAGATGATGATTATAAAAAAAATATGTTGATAATACAAAAAGAAGAAGATAATATATTAAATAAATTAGAGGGACTAACGCAATGTGTATCAGAATTGCTTTTACAACAAAATGATTTAAATAATGATACTTTGGCCATTCAATCATTTCTAAATAATCTAAACTCAACTGTACTAAATTAATAATAAAATAATAACAATAGTTATAATATAAAGTAAATAAAAGAATATATTATAATTTTCAAAAAAAAATACCTATGTTTGTTTTTCAATAATTTTTTAATTTGCAATAATTCTTTTTTATAAACCATTTGAATTTATAGTCTATACATTCAATCAAAAACTTGTTCATACTAATTTTTTAAATACCAAACAGACATTTAAATCCCAAAAAAAATAAAAAATAAAAAAATTTAATAAATTTGGTTATTTATAAATATATATTTAAAATTATTATAAAATTTTGTAATAATAATACAAATTTTATCTTTACAAATTTTATTTAAATTATAGTTTTTTTTAGATTTTTGTATAAAAAATAAAAAAAAAAAATTTAAGCGCCTATTTGATAGTTATATTATATAAATTGATTTTATTCTTGTTTTGAACTTAACTCCATAACTTCTGGGAAAATATTGACAAATTCGTGAATTTCTTCTATACAATAATCTATGTGTTCATCATCGGATTTACCACCAACTAAAACAGTAAACATACCAGCTTTTTTAGCTTCAACAAGATTTTCAACTACATCGTCAAAGAAAACACAACCTGCAGCATCGGTAGTATCGGCCTTCTTCATTGCCATTTGATAGGCCATTGGATGTGGTTTAGAAAAATCTAATAATTCTAAATAGTCGAGCCAAGCTTCAAAACAATCTTCAATGCCTAATTCTTTGGTGACACGTTTGCAATGACCAATATCTGCATTACTAAAGATAACTCTTTTAACAGATTTCTTTACACCCATTAAACATTGTCTTAAACGTTCGTCTGTTTTAATATGACTCTTTAAATCTAATCCACCATGAACAAAATCTAAATAGTGATCTGTACTAACTTGATGATTCATCATTAATCCTTTTAATGTTAATCCATATGTTTTATAATAGTGATTTCTAATTTTATCAACTTCTTCTTCTGGTAAATTTAAGAAATTTGACATATACTTTGTGATACTATTAAAATAAAAAAGGAGATTAATATTTAGTATTATCATTTATTATTATTATTCTATACATACCGAGCACTGACTTGGCTGGCTAAGCCACATGATTTTGGATATAATGTATTATCTAAATCAAATAATAAAGTGTGAATATTACGAACTGGTGTTTCGCTTTTTAATTTAATATCTGGTGTCATTTTTATAAATTAATTCTGTTATGTTTAAAAAATTATAAAAAAAAAGAAAAAAGAAAGTTAGTTTTTCTGTTCTAAAAGAAAATTAAATAAATAAATGTTTGTTTAAAAATTTTATTTTTTTATAATTTATATAAATTAAATAAATAATTTTATTTTATGAAAATGTTGTGTTTTGTGAAATTATTAAAAATAGTTAACAAGTTAACAAATATGTATAAATGTGTATTTATATAGTATGTGTATATTTATGTGTTTGATAATTTTTTTTATTAATAAACAAATATATATATATATATATATAAATTAAAATTAAATTAAACACCACCATGTTAATATTATTGTTTATTATGTGTAATTGATTTTTACCGATTTTTTAATCTATAAATAAATAATAAAATAAAGATACAATAATATTTATAAATATTTGATATTAATGATAATAATGATAATATTTGAATGGTTTTTTTAAAATAAAAAAAATAATTTAAAAAAAAAGAAAAAAATGTGTTTTTTTTTTTTTTTTTTTTGTAAGTGTACAAGAGGGGTTATTAATTTGAGTGTGTGTGATATGTTTATTTTTATTTTGTTTAGAGTGGGTGGGTGTGGTGTGGTGGTATTTCCGATTTAATGTGATAATTAAAGGTAATAAATTTTATTTTGATATTAAAAAAAAAAAACATACCTTGTTTAGGCACAATGTATAGATTGATAATAATTAATAGTAATAATATTTGTTGATTGTAATTTATTAATTATTTATTTGTGGTAATAATATTATTTGTTTATTGATAATACAATTGTTTTTAATAAAAAAAATCTCTAACCAATGAAAAAAAAATTTTATAAAAAATAAAAAAAAATGTAAATTTAAAAAAAATAAAAAATAAAATATGAGAAAAAAAATTAAATAAATTTTAAAAACCGTTTATTTTTTTTTTTTCATTAATGACACCATAAGCATCATCTTTTTTTATTATTTAATTAACCTTAAGAGTTACTTGAAAATAAACTAATTAGGTTTTCAAACAGATAAATAAATTAAAATAAATAAAAAAAAAAAAAAAACCACACCCACTTTTTTAAAATATTTTTTTTACTTGATTTATAATAGTGGGGTTTTAATTATAATAAATAAAAAAATGAAAAAAAAAAATAATTTCTTTTGCGAATAATGTTCATTGCAAAAAAATAGAGTTTAGTTAAATACTAAACAATAATACTAATATATGTAAATAACAACCACATTAATAATAATAATAATATATGTAACAATAATAGGTTTACAGAAAAATGAAATATTATTTAATATATTTAAAAGATAAAATCAAAAATTATTTTAAAATAAAAGGAAAAAAAATAATAACAACTATTGGTATTCAGCTATTGTTTTTATCTTTAATAATAGGGATTATAGCACCAATATCAATTTATTTAACAAACAATGAACCTAGCGAATATTTAGACATAGTAATAGATCATTTGGATATGCAGTATGATCCTAGAAACATGACAATTTTTGATAATATGACAAGTACACCAAATATATTTTTAAACCCACATACTCAATCAACTTATTCAGATGGTTCACTATCACCCGAGACAACTATACAATGGCATATTGCCAATGGTTATAATGTAATGTTTATGACTGATCATAATGACGAAAGAGGGGGGATAGAAGCCGAAAGAATCGCTAAAGAGAAATACAGCGATAAAATAATAGTAATACCAGGCGTAGAATGGACAAACTGCAGATGTCATTTAGGTTTAATAGGTATAAGAGAAAAAGTTGAAAAAATCAAATGGCCTACAAATAAAGAAATAAAAAAGTTAATCGATTGGGTGCATTCGAAAGGTGGCTTTGTAATTTTAAATCATGTGCCTTGGAGTTTTTGGGCAGGATTGGATCAACCAACAATGGATGAATGGCTAGAAATGGGTATAGATTTCCTAGAGGTTGTTAATCAAGGAACAATAGACTATCAAAATATTCTCTACTGCAAAAAGCACAATCTACGTTATGTTACTGGTATAGATTTACATTTGTATACTAAAGAATTGTCATGGACAGTTTTTAATATTCCAGAAGCCAAACAATTAAAACCAACTGATCCAATCTCGAGTGTAGTACCTACATTAACCGAAAAAATAATAATTTCGACACTCAGAAACCAAAGTACTCAAACATCGTTCATATTTGATGCCAAGGGTTCAATTATTAAAGCAAATCCAAAAAATTCACCAACCAATCCAAAGTTTATTTTTTTAAGTCCATGGATCTATATTGGTAGATTCTTTCATTCCTTTTTTGAAATTGAAAAGGGTCAATATAGTTTTGTAGCTGGCTCCTGCACCGAACAAATAGTAAATATTCATTCAAATCAATTATTTTCGCTAATAACCTGGGCATTAATACTGTTCTTAATTTGTCAAGTATTATATTTGTTATTAAAAGAACTAAGCAAATTTATTTTAAAGAAATTCAATAAAAAAGGAAATAAAGAAATAAAAAAAGAAGATTTTGAAAAAAATTTTAATGATTCAGTTGAAAGAGAAGACAGTGATAGTAGTACAAATAGTGAAGACCCACTCCAAAAAACTAAAAGTACATTTTATGATGATAATGATAGTGATGGTTTATAATAAAAAATAATGATAATAATAATAAAAATAGAAATCTATAATAGGAAATCATTTTAAATGGAGAAAAAAAAAAAATTAGAATCGAAAAAATAAGATTTAAAAGTGTCAAAAAATAAAAATGTTCGTTATAACAAAGTAAAATATAAATAAAAAAAAAAATAAAAAAAAATAAAAAAAATAAAAATTTAAATTCATTATTAAATTTTGTTTTTTTTTTTTTTTAAATTATTTTTGTTTCGTTTGTTTTTTTATTTTTTTTTTTTTAAAAAAAATAGGTTTTTCTTTATCTATTATTTATTATTATATATACCCAATAATAATAAAATGGATAAATATTTAAATAATGGTTTTAATTTTAAAACCTATAAAAAAAGAAATGTTATAATAAAATATATAAAAAATCATTATTATTTAAATTATTTTTATAAACAAATAAAATTCTATTTTAAAAACAATCAAGGCAAAGAAGTATTAACATCAATTGGTATACAGTTAATATTTTTAGCGATAGTAATAGGAATTATAGCGCCGATAACCATTGTAATCTATAATAACGAACCAAGAAAATATTTAGACGACTCAATTGTAATTAATAATATAGACACTTTAACATTCGACCCAAGAAACATGACAACCTTTGATACAATGTTAGAAAAACCAAATATATTTTTAAATCCACATACACATACAACTTATTCAGATGGTTCACTATCACCAGAGTTAGCAATACAATGGCATATTGCCAATGGTTATAATGTAATGTTTATGACTGAGCATAATAGAATAAATGGAGGTCTCGAAGGCGAAAGAATTGCCAAAGAGAAATACAGCGATAAAATAATAGTAATACCAGGCGTAGAATGGACAAACTGCAGATGTCATTTAGGTTTAATAGGTATAAGAGAAAATGTCCCAAGCATCAAATGGCCTACAAATAACGAAATTAAAGATTTAATTGAATGGGTGCATTCGAAAGGTGGCTTTGTAATTTTAAACCACATACCATGGAGTTTTTGGGCAGAATTGGATCAACCATCAATAGAAGAATGGATAGAAATGGGTATAGATTTTCTCGAAGTAGTTAATGAAAATGTTATCGATTATCAAGGTATTATCTACAGCAAACAGCACAATCTACGTTATGTTACTGGTATAGATTTACATTTGATCCAAAGAGCCGATTCATGGACAGTTTTTAATATTCCAGAAGCCAAACAATTACAACCAACCGATTTAATATCAAGTGTAGCACCAACATTAACCGAAGAATTAGTAATGTCAACACTCAAAAACAAAAGTACTCAATTATCTTTCATATTTGATGCCAAAGGTTCGATTATTAAAGCTTCAAAATCAAAAGACTCACCAATCACTGCAACATACAACTTTTTTTCACCATTTGTATATGTTGGCGGTTTTTTCCATGCATTTTTCCAATTAGAAAGAGGAATGTATAGCTTTGTAGATGGCTCATGTACCGATGTAAAAGTAGTTATTTATGGTAAACAAATTGTAGCACTTGTATTTTGGATATTGGTATTTTTTGCCCTCATAAAAACAGCATACAAATTTTTTAAACAAATTAGTTATAAAATTTTAGGAATAGTAAAAAATCAAAGAAAGAAGGATGATTATGAAAAACTATTATATGACAATAACAATAGTGGTAGCACTAGCAATAACAATGAAAGTATCAATAACAATGTAAGCAGCGTCAATAACATCAATACCAATAATATTAATAATAATGAAATTCAAATGAATAGCTTCACAAACTACCAATAAATCCACATATTAATAATATGTAAACGAAGTAAATATACAATGTAAAAGTAATAAAATAAATAATTAATTATTATTTATAAAACAAAAATAATTTTATGTTTTATTTTTTTTATTTTTTTACTTTTTTAAAAATTATCTAAAACTGAAAATAATGAATGATAAGACTCTAATAAAATTGGAGAAGCTTCTTTGTAATCTTTAAATTGATCAGGTTTCTTTTCACTCATATTTGGTCCTAATACTAAAACTACAGTTTCAACACCATACTCTTTCTTTAAAATACAATTACTATTACTAATGGGAATTGGGTAAACTTTACCAATTTTTCCAGGATTGGGGAATCTATTCTTGGTTTCCTTTTCAAATTGGCCATCTAACATTTCATCATATAATACTTTGTTTTGTGGAGTCTTTTTTAATCTCCAATTGGTTTCACTTGCAAATAATTTACAATTACAATTAAACTGCTCTAATGAATTTGAGTTATTAATTTTAACAATTTCAAATCTTTTATCCCATTTGTTATTAAAAAGCTATTATATATATATAAATAAATTAAATTAGTTTTAAATAAATATTTATATAAAAATATTAAAATTATAAAAATACATACTTTTTTAAAATTTTCGATTAATTGATCTGAATAAACTGATTTTTCTACCATCATTTTTAATTTTATATCATCCCCATCTTGTTCATGAAATGATAAATACTCTGATATTGCTTTTGCTGCTATTTCAGTAGCTTTCTCTATGTCATATTCAAATGTGGTTGTTGATATGAATGGGAATGCTAATGATCTTTCTTTAAGTGCATCTGTTAATTTCTTTTTTTTATACTTTGGTCCAATAATTTTACCAATATTTGAATTATTTTCTTGTTCTTGTTCTTGTTTTAATTGTTGAGATGGTTTATTATTATTACTAATACTATTACCATTTACATTGGTATTATTTATTTTTTTATTTTCGCTTTGTTTTGACTGTTCATCGTTTTCATTTTGTTTTTGTTGTTGCTGTTGTTTCTGCAATGATTCATTATCGCCATCATCTTTGTGTTGCTTTTGTTGTTGTTTTTTATCTATATCATTATGATCAAATTCTTCAAAATGTGCTGGATTCTATTTATATTAAAGAATTAGTAATACTATTTCTTATAATTATTTATTTATCTACTTTTCTTACTTTTCTAAAACAATTTGCGCCATATGGACACATTTTCTTTGGTTTATCATCAGTTTGTTCTTGCTCTAATTTTCTTTTATTATTTTTATTACTACTGGAATCATTTGCACTACCAACACTACTGGAATCATTACTATTGCTACCCTTATTACTACTATTACCAATATTGCTATTATTATTACTATTGATTTTTTCATTTGATTCAAAAACCACCATAAAAGTAAACATTTCAAATAATAATGAAAAACAATCTTTATCATTTAAAACATAGTTTTGATCTTTGTTCATTTGCACAAAATATTCTTCATCATGCTTCTTTAAATATGATGGGTTTACTCCATTCTATAAATATAAAATAAAAAATTAATATCAAATTCAATTTAAACCCAAAATTTAATTTAACCTAACTTACAGATGATATATAATAGCTATTGTCATCATTAATAATAATCGAAACTTGTTTTCTAGAGCATTTCTTTTCTTGTAATTTTTCAAATGAACCACGACCAATCGAAAATGTTCCAGCTTTATCATAAACTATATACTCATCTTTACCTAGAGAACCATCAATGCATTTCACTCTAATATTATATTTTAATTTGGTCATTTATCTTGATTGTTATTAATATTGTTTTTATTATTAATTAATATATATTATAAATAATTTAAAAAAAAAAAGTAAAAAAATGAAAAAAAATAAAAAAATAAAAAAATAGAAAATTTTTTTTTTTGCAATATCTTTTTTTTGAAAGTTGAGAATGAATTTAAAATACCCTTATGGCTATTGAATAAAATAATTTTTCCTCTTGTTTATTAAAGAGCAAAATTATTTTTATAATAATTTTATTTATAAGAAAAATATATGACAGAAGCTGTTTTTTTTTTATACTTTAAAAAAAGAAATAATATTCTTATTTATTTTAATTTTATCTTGGTGTTAAAGGTATTGATGTGTCATCATATTGAGTATTTCGTGGGGATATATTACGTGGGGAAGCATTACGTGGGGAAACATTACGGGGTGAATCTAAATTACTGCCAGTACTTGAATTAAAATATGAGGCTGATCTTGGTGATAAAGGTTGTTCATCCATTTTATCTTCTGGTAAAACGAAATACTTTTCAATGAATTCAAATGTTTTGGTTAAATCTATAGTATTTGCCAAGGTTGCTAATTCTGTAACTAATTTTGGATCGTCCATTGAAGTATTTTCGCCTAAAATTGGATTTAAACGATGGTGTCTATCCCCTAAAATATTATCGCAAATTTGAGTCAAATAATCAACTTGAGATCCCATTAAAAGATTACCTAATTTTGGAGCCCAATTTAATAAACCCCAATCGTAATCTTGACCACCCTCCATATAATGTGATGATGCACCTGTGCCTATAGATAAACAAATGATTTTATCGGCTGGGATATTATCAAGACTTGGTGACATTGCTAACGATATTGCTGAAAGTGATGGGTTATTTGCAAATACACCACCATCAATATAACCTTGGTGTGATGGGAAATAAGTTGGAGCTGATGCTGATCTTAATAAAACATCACCTATAATATCAGTTTCTAAATAACCTTCGCATTTACCAATATTATGGAAAACACGTGGTTGCCATCTTCTGACCTCTGGTGCTAATGATTGTGCTTCAGGTGGCCATGCGCTATCCAATTGAAATGCTGGAACAACTAATTTTCTCTGTGCTTCATAGAAACGACGGTCTTGGAAGAATACATAACAGGAGGCTCTAAGAACACGTGCAAAATATTTAGCATTGCCCATATTAAAACCTGGTCTTTTTTTACCAAACACTGGAAGAGCTGTTAATTCCAATACACGTCTTGTGCCTTTTGGAGGATATTCGAATGCCAAACCAGCTGCGACAATTGAACCTGCACTAGTACCAGTGAAAACATCTACATGATCTAAAAACTTTGGATAACGTTTTGCAATACGTTCAATTAAAATGCAAACCATAACTGATCTTAAACCACCACCATCCAAAGAAAGTACACGATAATATCCATCACTTGATTTAGGTTTATTACGATAGCTTGTTGGGGTTTCACCCTCTGGTAAAGGTTTTGGTTTAAATTCATCCAAAAGTGCCTTAACCTTTTCTAATAATATTTTTTCATCTGGTTCTAAACAATCTACCATTTCATGTGGTACACAAACTTTAGTTTGGTGGCCATCATTAACTGGTGGTTCAAATATTGGACTGTTTGGAGCAACTACTGTGTTGCTTCTACCTCTACCCAAAATACCAATTTTATGTTCTGCTAACGGTCTAAGAGTAACAGTAGTTTCTAAAATTTATAATATTAAACGATAAAGTATTGTTAGTATCTAAAATTTAGAATATTAATATTACAAATTAAAACTTACCTTTTCTTCGTTTAATGATTTTTTCGCACTCTTCAATCCATTTTTTAGCAATTGTTTCATCTTCTATTCTAAATTTTAATTTAGAGTTGTTTTTACCACTATTTTTTTCGACATCAGAACTTTGAATAATTGAAAAATTGTGTTTTCCATCGACAAATGTAATTTTTGAAAATGAGTACCAGTAATTTAATAGAATTCTGCCACATTCGTCGCTATCAGTAATTTGATTTTGATCTTCCCACCATCCCTTGTAATATTCTAAATGCGAGTCACGTAAAACAAACCATTTTCTTTTCCATTTTTTAGATATGCATACCTCCATCCAACCTTCATAAACTTTATTACTAAGCGAATTAATAGACATTTCTAAACCACTAGCATTGGATAGTATATCGTCATCTTCATGAGACGAAGTATTGCCATCACCAACTGAATCCATAGTAGATGCTTGTATACCAGTGGAGGATGAAATATTTGATTGAAATGATTTTTCTTTTTTCTTTCTAGAGAAGAGATTAGTAAGAAAAGAGGCCTCGGAATCTTTTGATGATGAAAGAGGTGGCGATGATGGAACTGAATCTTTACCAGAAACTGCAGCTAATGAAATTTTTGGTGGTATATTGTGTGGTGATGATGATAATGGGCTTGATGGTAACATATTAGGTGATCCAACAGGTGAGGTATTTATTTGTTCGAAATGTATAGATGCAGCTAAACTAGAAATTGAAGACTTTGTATATTGTATTCTAACAGCTGACGAATTTGGTTGTGAGGTTTTATTGGTACCAATCATTGGTCTGTTTGGATTTGATGGTGGTGAGTTTGGTGGATTTGATTGTAATGTTGGTGATGAAGGTGTTTTATTTAAACCTAAAGATCCTTTTAATGGAGATAGGGCGTTTGGTGAACCTGGTACTGACCCTGAACCTTTTAATTTGTTTAAATTACTAAAACTTGTATTTGCTGAATTTAGAGTTGGTGTACTACTACCACTACTATTGGTACTTGTTTGATTAAGTTTGATGTTAATAGATGATAATGATCTATGTAATTCTTGCCCATCATTATCATCCATCGCAATCATAAATGATGACCAATCACCTATATTACCTCTAAGATTTGGTAAATCCTCTTCTTTGTCGCCACCTGTCCATGTGCTCATCCATGATGATTCTTCTCCATCCATTTTATTATTGATGATTATATTATATGATTATATTATTATATGATTATTTGGCTAATATAATTAAATTTTATGGTTATATGAATTTATTTTGTATTTACAATAAATAGTAGTTTATATATTATATTATATTTTACAATTTAAAAAAAGATTTTTTTTATATGATCAATTATATTTATATGATTGAATTTATCTTTTTTTATTGTATTATTACAAAAGTACAAAAAATTATTGTGAATAAAAAAAAATTATTTTTATAAAAAAAAATTAAAAATAAAAAAGTGGGCAAAAAAGATATTTTTTCACAATCATAATTATTTTCAAAAAATTATGATAAATTTTTTTTTGTTCTGAAAAATATTAATTGGGTTGTAATAAAAAAAAAAAATCTTGAATTAAAAAGAAAGGTATTTTTTTTTTTTTTTTTGATATAATTATTAACGAATGAAAATTCATAAAGAATTTTTCTTAAATAGTTCAAAAAAAAATATCAAAAAAAAAAATAAAAAAAAATTGATTTTGTTGTTGCTAATGCTATTGCTTTTGCTATTGGTTTAAAATTTTAGTTTTATTTTTTATTATTGATATTATTATTGTTATTGTTGCTATTATTTTTTTTGTTGACCTGTGCACGTATTACTATTAATATTAATATTTCACTAAGTCCCCCGACATTACCAACCAAAAAAAAACATTAAAATGTTGTGATAGGTGAATAACTTTCTTAAAAAATTTATCCATTGACTTTTCATATAATTGGTGAAATAGGTTTCTATGTTCTTTATTAAAAAAATTATAAAAAGATGAAAAAAAATGTTTTTTTTGAAATATATGTTAATATAAAAAATGAACTGAAAAAAATACTTTTTTATTTAATTTTTTTTTGTTTATTATTATTATTATTATTATTATTATTATTATTATTATTATTATTATTATTATTATTATTATTATTATTATTATTATTATTATTGTTGTTATTATATACTATAGTTTTCTAAACAATATTTTTATGTATAAACAGTTGTAAATTAAATATTATTTTTATAATTATTATTTTTATTATTGTTATAATTACTGTTATTTAAAAAAAAATTTTTAATACAATCATTTTATTAAAATGTTTTTTTTATTAGTGGATTTTATTAGAAAAGATGTGACTTGAAAAACAACCTTATTTATATAAAAACAAAAAAATTACACAAACATATTGTTATTTTTATTTTGTTGCATTTAGTTATGATAAGATGACAGGTAGATATTTTTAAAAAAAAAATAAAAATGATTTTTTTTAAAAATTATAAAAAAAAATAAAAATTATTTATAAATAAAATTATTTAAAAAAAAAATAAAAAAATAAAAAAAATTGGTTTAAAAAAAAATCCACACTCTGGTTTTGGTTTTTTTTTTTTTTTTTTTTTTTTTTTTTTATTTTTAAAATTATATAAATAACAGTTATTATCCAAACTTAACACCCTCAATACCATATATTATCAAAAAAAAAAAAAAAAAAAAATTTCACCATCCCCCACACATAAACCTACAAAAAATAGTAAAAGATATTATATAATAATAAATATTTTTCATTTTTAAATAAATAAATAAATAAATTCTCATATTAAAATAAATAAAAAATATTTAACTAATCAATTTAATAAATATTTTATTATAAATACATATACATAACAAAGCTTCTTAATAAAACATGACAAAAAGCAGAAAATTACAATCACCACATATTACAACAGCTTCTACTATTACTACAACCACAACTACAACAACAGTAAAGCAAGATGGTATTGCAAAAAAAATATTAAAAACATCAGCATCAAGCATTAAAACAGTACATGCAGGTGTAAGATCAGTATTAAGACATGTTCCAATCAAGAAACCTCCACAAGTTGTAAGATGGGATTTTTTAGGTGTTGGATTATCATATATGTGGGGTAAAATTAATAGAAAACATTTACCAGTATTCATGAGAAAACCGCTTTATCAAGCATGGATTAATATTTTTAAATGTAATCAAAGTGAAATTCCAGCCCCACTTGAAAGTTATCCATCATTAGCAGATTTCTTTTCAAGACCGATTATAGAAGGAGCTAGACCCATTTCAAATGAAGGTACAGTCAGTCCAGTAGATGGTCGTGTTTTAGCATGTGGCGAAATTAAAAGCGATCTTGTTGAACAAGTTAAAGGAGTAACTTATTCAATTTCCCACTTTTTAGGTTGTGATCCACAAACTTTATTAAAAAACAAAGATTCAAAACTTTATCATTGTATTTTATATTTATCACCAGGTGATTACCATCGTATTCATTCTTCAGAAGAATGGTCAATTCAAAATCGTCAACATTTTCCAGGTATGTATTTTTTAAAATTAAAAATATATTTATTTATATTGAATGTATACTAATTTTTATAATCATTATTATTTTGTTTATAGGTACATTATTCCCAGTTAACAAACCATTTTTAAAATTAATCCCAAGTTTATTTGCATTAAATGAAAGAATTGTACTTACAGGTGAATGGCAACATGGTTTTTATTCTTTAACAGCTGTTGGAGCATATAATGTTGGATCTATATCATTAAACTTTGATGAGGAAACAAGAACAAATTGTATTACTAGAGATTTTAGATGTAAAAATTTAGAATATTTCTCATGGAATGGCGTTGGTACCCATTCTTATGATTTAACATACGAATCCCCAATACCTCAAGAAAGAGGTCAAGAAATAGGTCAATTCCATCTAGGTTCAACCGTAGTTTTAATTTTTGAGGCCAAAGATTTCGAATTTACAATTAAACAAGGCGACTATTGTAAAATGGGTTCATTAATTGGAAAAGAAAAAATTAATTAAAATATATAAATATAAATTAAATAAATAAAAAAAATCTTAAAACTAAACAAATTGTTTAATTAAACAAAATTAAAATTTTATATTTTTATTTTTAAATATTAGTTTTTTATTTTTTTTTTTTTTCTTATGTGAGTGTTAGTATGAAATATATGAAATCGGATAAACTATTTTAAATTATTTAAATATTTGTTTTATATATAAATAGTTTATAATTATTGTTTATTATTATTATTTTTTTTAGTATTATGATTTATTATTATGATTCGTAATCAAAACCTTTAACATGGCCAGAATAAGCAGTATTGATTCTTTTTAAAACTGCACTATGTAAAACATCTAGTGTTTCAACGGGACAATGTGCATTAACTTCGACTTTTTGAAATGGTGGACAACCACTAACCAAATATTCTTGAATGGTTTGTAAATTATTTAAAATCGATCTAGTTTGAACAGAAGCATTTGGGCCGAATGCTTTTTCTGCTGTAATTTGATCAATTGGTGAGGTTGATAACCAATTTTCAATGAAAAGCTTATGGTCTTCTGGATTAATACTTAAAACAAATGGTATAATAATACCCTTGGTTTTAGGTTTTCTTAAACTATTTAATAGGGCTGCTTGAGCTAATTTCTTTTGTTCTTCTGTAATTTCTGGCTGTTCACCTTCTTTTGGTAATGCTGATGTTGGTTCTGGTTGTGATTCTTGTTGTTGTTGGGGTTGTAGTGGTTTATTTTCATTTACAGTTGGAGGTATTTCAGTTGGTATTTCATCGGAAATAGTTTGAATGAGGTGTTTCGATGGTGATGATTTATTATTGCTATTTATATTTTCGTTTTCATTATAATCTTTTTGCTGTTGATGTTTCTTTCTTTGTTTTTCTAATTCTAATCTAATTAAATCTTCATTTGATTTTGTTTTTTCAAAAACAAACTGTATTGGTGAAATCATATTTCTTTCGGATATTAATTCTACAAACAAATTTGGATCTATATGTGGACCTTCTATAATGATGGCTTTACCTTCTTCAAAACATTTTTCAATATCTGTATCAACACCATGTCTAATCATTACACATTCTTTTTTAAATTCCGATATTAATTCTTCTTTTGTTTTATAATTTTTGAATGCAATTGGTGGATCTGATGGCATACCAAACATATTACCTGGGTGATTACTATTAATTTGTACATTATTATTATTATTGTTATTATTATCTACAGAGTTTATATTTATATTATCGCTATTATTTTCATTTGGTTTTGGTTGAAATTCTTTTATAATTGTATACATAAGATCATGAACTAAAGTAGTTTGTAATACAGTTGATAAATTTAGTCTCTCTGCTAATTGAGTTGCTAACCATGATTTACCAATAAACTTTGGACCTGAAATTAAAATAATTAATGGTACTCTTTGATGATGGAACCTTTATAAAAAAAAATAAAAAAAATTTATTAATATTTATTATCATATTACTTTCAAAAATAGTATTAACTACTTACTGAGTTGTCATTTTGTATCTTTCAATATATTCTTTACCATAACCATATTGTTGTAATAATTTAAATAATTCATTTTCTAATTCGGCCTGGGTTAAAGTTAATCTTCCTTGATCTACCAATGTTTTCTTTAAAGCCAATGAAATTTTTACAGAGTCGGCAGCATCTACTTTGGTTACATTTAACACTCTACTAATTAAAAATCTAGACAATACATAGTAATGATTTTCCAATCTAACTTTAACTTTAACAAAATCATATTTTGAACTTGGAGTTGGATGATTTGAATTACTTGCGTCGTATTTAATTAAATTAAACTTCTCTTCAACTTTTGATGACTCTTCATGATTTTTATTTGAGTGGTGATGGTGATGTATTGATAATCCGTTTTTATCGACTAATGGTGGTTGTGTTGATGATAAATTTTGTAATGATGATGCTCTGTTTAATAATCTTAATCTATTTTGATTTGTATTATTTAAATTTGAAAATGGTGAACTAGCTAAACCACTATTATTTGATGAACCGTCCATATTGTTATTACTATTGTTGTTAATGTTGTTATTATTGTTGTTTGTTTCTTTTAATAATATATTATTTGGTAATCTTTGATCGGATGGGGATGGGGACTGTTGTAATTTATATTTTTCTTTTGCTTCTTTATTTATACTACTTTCATCATTAAATTCAGATGTGCTGATATTGTTATTGTTATCTGACATATTGGATTACTGTATGTGTGGACAATGGGATGATACTATTAAAAATAATAGATGGGGGTTGTTGGTCTTTAATAATATTGTTGCTATTTATATATATATTATATAATGGGTATTATATAACAATGTTATACTAATTGAATAGAATAAATCTTGGCCAAGATTTTTTTTTTTTTATATAAACAAAAAAAAAAAAAAAATATTATTATAACTTTTTTTTTAAAATTTTTTTTTTTATTAAATTATTTAAAAATAATAAAAAAATAAAAAAAAAAAATTATTTTTAAAAAAAAAATAAAAAAAAAATTTCAAAAAAAAAATTATAATAATTGTATGCCTCCACACCAAATTGTATGAGGAAGATATCTACTTTGAAAAAAAAAAACCCCAATGTTATAACCAAACTCATTTCATTATAATAATATTATAATATGAAAAATAATAGTTACAAATAATATTTAAAAGATTACTACAATGAAAGAGAGTGTGTGTTTTTTTTTTTTTTATTTTATTTTTTTTAAAAAAAAATTTTTGATTTCTTTTTTTTTGAATAATCCGCTATGTATTTCCGATTTTAGTTTTGTTGCAATTTCGATAAAAAACGAAAATAAAAAATTGTAAAATAAAAAACTAATAATGAGGATATGATTGTTTATATACAGTTTAGAGTTTATTTATATTTTTTTTTTTGCTTTATTTATACAAAAAAAACTTCGATACCATTTGATTTGTTTTTTTTTATTTTTTTTTTATTTTTTTTTTATTAAATAGTTTATATATATTTTTGGTTTACTATTATTGTTTTATATAGTTATATTATTATTATTATTATTAACATTATTTTATTATAATCTAGAATTTTCTTGACCACCTTCAACATCTCTTTGTTTTTCATAATTACCTTCTTCTGGCATTTCGGCTTTTTCATTCTTAACCCAACCTAAAATAGCGTAAATACCACCACCAACGATACATCCTAAAGCTGGAGCAATTGTAAATACACTGAAAAATGCTGGGATACAAAATAATACGTATAATGGACCTCTTATTTTATAGTCAAAAATAGTAACAAAAATTGGGAAACCTTTAAGTCTGATAGCAAAAAGTTCAATAGCAATAACAACTGCGCCGCATGCAATATCGAATGGGCCAAGGATCCATCTTGAAAAGAAAATAATAAGAATACCCAAAACAATTAACACTACATAAATAAAATAATAATAATAATATTATTAGTATATCAGGTTATATTTTAATAAAATTGGTTAATAATACTTACAACCACCAGAAGCAACGGATGTCCAATATGCAATTTTCTTTAATAATTTAGATTCTGGTAAAAAACTACTAGCTACAGCTTTGGTAGCAGTACCTCCAACACCTAACATTTTTTTTTTATATTATATAATTTCTAAAAGAACGATATACACAAAAAATATTTTTATAAATAAACAAATAAAATAATTTGGTAATTATTTTTACACTATAGTATTAATATTTTAAAAAATAAAATTTAAACTTTTAAGTTTTTTTTTTAGTATATAATATTTTGTAATTAATAATTAGTAATTAAATATTTAATAAAATAAAATAAAATAATTAATAAAATAATAAATTAAAAAAAAAAAAAAAAAAAAAAATAATAATTTTAGTTTTTTAATTTAAAAAAAAAAAAAATTCAAAAAAAATAAAAAAAATAAAAAAATAAAAATTCAAAAAAAAAATTCAAAAAAAAAAAAAACTGAGGTTATATGGAGCTTAAGCCTAAATAAGCAAAAAGAATAATGTTTTATAATATATTATTTATATTATTTATATTATTTAGTTTATTTTTATAAATTTGTTAATATTATTAATATTTTTTTTTTTTTTTTTTTTTTTTTTATTCTTCGAATCTAAATTTACATAATAATGATGCCAATGGAATTGATCTATTAAAATTGTTTTTTAATCTTATCATTCTGTAACCTGGTCTAATGTTTTCGACTCTAATGCAATAGTGACCAATACGATTATGACCAACCTTATCTTTATCATCTACACGAATTAAAAGCATGGCGAGTTGAGAGTTGTAGAGAGGGAATTCAAATTCTTCGCCCCAATGAGGATTAAAACCATTGTTATCGATAACTCTTGTTTTTTCAGTTTTTTGATCATAGTGGCTACCATAGACTGAGAGTGTGACATATGGATCGATAACTTCACCTTTGGTGGTTTTGGTGTATTTTGGTAATTGACGAGCACTGATAACTGTAACAATTAAACGGGAGTATTTTGAAAGTGGTGCACGTTCTGGTGATGATGGGTCGAATCCTTCACATCCTTCGGGTAATAAACATGGTGGTTTCAATACATAGCCACAACCACCGTTATCTGTAAACATACCATCGTTTATCCACATTGGTTCGCTTGAAGTTTGCTGATTTAATGCAATCATTTGATTACCAATGGACCAGCCTGGTGATGGGTCAAAGTTTGAACTATCGAAACGAGTTCCTTTTGGATATGCTCTGAAAAAGTGTTCGTGTGATGCCATAATCATCTCTTTGGAATCGGTTTGTACCAATGCCTTAACCTTTTCTTCACTTAATGAATGCATAAGATAGCATGGAAGCTCTTTGGTGTTACTGGCAGATTTGAATGAGTGTGAAACCAAGTAAATAAGACTAGATAACTCTGGCGCAACCTTTTCTTTAGTTGGTTTCTTTTTACTGCTACCAAGACTAAATGATGAAGACGATGATTTAATATCTGGCTCTTCGTCATTTTTAAAATCTACAGCACCATCATCGTCATCGGTGGTATAGTTTGAACCCGATGTGGATGTTGTGGTTGTTGTGGTTGTAGTAGATGAGGAGCTTGCTTCGTTACTAAAGTTTGTACTGCTTGTATTTAATGCACCAGCCAACGAGCCTAATGATGAGGATGAGGTTGATGAGCCAGGTGTTTTAGAGATGTGGCCTTTTAATAAAATTTTAAATTTCATAGATTCTAATGATGGGAATTCTTTAGAGCCTTCTGGTAATGGCATTGCTAACATTTCGCCAAAGATATCCTTCATATGTTGAGCCATAATAATTTGTTGTGGAATTGAACAGTGAACTTCTAATGAAAGAATAACTGGGTATGGTGAAGTTTCAAAACCTCTAGATTTGATGGTTTGAAGTACATGAGAAAATTTAATTTGACTAGTCAAAGTATTACCATGGAAAATAATTGGATCACCATCGTTTCCATCCCAAACGTCAAGCTCTACACATTTGCAACCTTGTCTTAATTGATATGTATACATTTCAGAAGTTGAAAGACCCTTTAATTGATGGCCACTCAAATAGGTGTTGTGAGATGAGTTTATAAAGTAATGAGTTAATGGTCTGGTGGTATCCTGATAGACACCATTGCAACGTGGGTAGATTGCTAGATTTTGGTCACCAGTTAAATACTCTTCAAAGTTTTCAAAGGAGATATAGTCTAAACGTTCGTGGTGGTACTTTTCAATTAAATTTTTACACATTTCTATGGTCCACTCTTCCTTTTGCTCTTCTTTAAAGAATTGAATCATACCATGAATTGGGATGATATCGGTTCTACCTTGGGCATATTTGAAAAATACTGGCTTTAACTCTGGATGACTTCTTAATAATTTTAATAAATTTGAAAACTCTGAAAAATCTAAATGATAGTCACAATTGGTATCTGTAAATTTCATTAATCCTTGAAGTACAACATCACTGGTTGAGAAATTTAAACGGGCTAAAACTTTCTTTAATGTACTAAAATCAATTGTATCTTTGCCAATTGAGTCCCATTCTTTCTTTACAAAATTATATTCATTATTTACACTCTTTGAATCTTGAACGATATGATACAAAGCTGATACTATAATTCTTCTCTCTTCAATTGATGCACATATAAAATCCATTGACTTTCTTAAATTTCCACTAAATAATATTGAAAATGATGTTTTCTTTGATTCCTCATCTTTACTTCTTGAAACGAATTGATTAAAAATATTTGTTTTGTGACCTACTCTAATTTCATCAATTTCAGAAAAGTTTACTATAATTAAAAAATGTTAATTACCTATTTATAAATGTACATTTATATTATATTTTAAAATAGTATATTAAATAATCCTTTTCTTACCTTTCTTTTTTTTACCACAAATAATTTGATTTTTTTCTAAATCAAAAATTAATTTCTTCTTTTGGGATTTACCCTTTGATGATATTTTTAAAATTGGTAAACCACTCTTATATTTTTGAAAATCGATATCAATTTCTAATTGAGTATGGTCATAATCTTTAAATTAAAATTAAATATTAATAATATGTTTTTAATACTATCTATTATATATTTTATTTTTAAACCTACCATCAATATCATAACTATCTAAAATTACATCATTATTAAATGATTGAATATTATATAATTCTTCCTATAAAATAATGTTTGATTCGAATGTAAAAAAAATATCAGTATTTTCAGATATTTTTTTTTTTATATAGTAAAATAAAAACTTACTGCAATTGATTCAATTCCTTGTTTTAAATCGTACATTGAAATATCAGTTGACATCTCTAAAGTGTTATCCATTTTGTTTTTCTAGTTTCTTTATTATTACTTAAAATAATCTAATTTTAAAAAAAAATTAAAAAGTTAGTAAAAAATTATAAAATGTTATTTATGTGATGAGTTTATATAGAATAATATTGTTGTTATAAATAGTTATTAGCAATAATTTATTTAATATTTACAAATAAATAAAATATAAAATATAAAATATAAAATATAAAATTTAAAATATAAAATATAAAAAATATAAATGAAAAATGAAAAAATGAAAAAATGAAAAAATGGAAAATAAAAAGGAAAGATTGAAAAATATAAATGATATACGCTATAATATTTCTAAATTACCTAATATTAGTTATTATTATAAATATTATTAATAATATAATTTATGTGATTTATTATAATATATTACAGATTATTTTTATGAAACAAAAAACAATGAAAAAATGGCAATGCGATATATATATCTATTGTATATATATATATTATTATACTAGTAATACAAATAAAAACAATAACCACAAATTTTTTTGTAAAAATAAATATTTAAAATTTAAAAAAAAAATTATAAGATATTTTTTTTTTTTAAAAATTTCTTTTTTTTTTTTAAATTTATTTTTTGTGTGTTAGTATTGTTTTTTTTTGTGTGGGGTGTGGTTTTCGCAGCTATTCAAAAAATAACTCCTACACAAACCTCATTAATAGCCACTCGATTTAGATATTAATTAATAAACATTAATATTTACTTTTTTTTTTTTTTTTTTTTTTTTTCCTTTTTACTATTTTATTTATATTTTTTAAATTTAATAAGAATTATTTTATAATTTATAATTTATAATTTATAATTTATAATTTATAATTTATATTTTATATTTTATAATTATTATTTTTTAAAAAAAAAAAGAATAAAAACAAAAAATATTTCTGCTATTCAATCATTTTTTATAAACACCCAAATTTTTTTTTTTTAGATTTTTATAATTCATTCAATCATTCTCACCTTATATTAAACAAATAGTATGAAAGTATGCATTTATAAAAAAAAAAATTTATATTAAATTATAATTTAATTTTTTATTTTAAATAAAAGATTTTACACAACTATTTTTTTTTGTATTTACAATTGAAAAAAATAGAGATTATATAATCTCTTTTTTTTTTTTTTTTTTTTATTTTTTTTATTTTTTTTTTTAAAAACTGATGGGATTATTCACATTTATCCTTTTAAAGATTTGTAAAAATTCCCTCTCTATTTTTTCTTAACGTGGTTGATTTAATGGACGTTGTTGATTTTTATGATTTTCTTGGATAGTTGGAGAGCACTCCTTAGCTTTATCTTTTGGTGGATAAACTGGACTAGTTTTTGGATCAGTATTTTCAATCTTGTATGTAGTATCCATTGCTGTAGCCAAATTGGTCATTATTGGGGAAGTATGTGGTGATGATTTATGGCCCTTACTTTTTGGTACTCTCATACCATGCTCGCCTCCTACTTTAACTGTTAAATAAAAATAGAAATGTTAGCAAAGGTTACTAGTTATAAAGGGCATTTTGGGGATATACATACTGGCTGGTAATGGAGTAAAATCGGAACTTTGGTGTTGTGGTGATAACATTTTCTTTATATTGTTTTGGAGGTTGATGATAAGAGGACTATTTATTTGCTTGTTTGTTTATTATTGATTGTTTAAATGTACAGAAATAAAATAATTTATTTTATTTGTTTGAAAAGATAAATATACAAAGAGTTGTTTGAAATGATTGACTTAATAATAAAAAAAAAAAAATTTCTTTTATTAAAAAAAAATATGAATATGTTAAGAAAAAATTTAATTTAATTATTAAATAAAAAAAATAAAAAATAAAAAAAAAATTTAAATTAAAAAAAAATATTATTATAATTTAAGTTGTGTGGGTTAAATATCCAAAGATAGTTTTTTTTTTGTAATTGTTGTTAATTATGATTTTGAATAAATCAAATGGTTGTTGGTGTGGGATAGTGCTATAATGTGTTAAAAAGAAATTGGTGTGTTGGTGTGGGAAAGTGAAAATTTGCTTTTTTTTTTCCCATGTTTTTCTTTATTTTCTTTTGTGTGTTTAAAAAAAAATATTATTGGGTGGGTGTTTGTGTGTTATGTTGAAAGTGTGAGTGTGGTTGTGCTAACTGACATATGATTTATCATTATTGTAACTTTACTTTTTGAAAATCTAATTGTTTTTATGTATATGATTGAATTTAAATGTAATTATATAACTATTAATAGCGTTGTCATTGTTAATTTTAACAGCCAATAAAATTGACTCTAGTAATTATGAAAGCTACTATTAAAAATATTATTTAATATTTATATTATAATCATATTGATGATAAGCTGTAAGTTGGAAATAATTATTATTATTATTAATATTATTATTAATATTAATATTATTATTATTATTATTATTATTATTAACTAATTGTTTTAAATGAACTAGAATTTGAATCAACTGAATCACAAAAACTGGAAAGATTGTGGTATTTAACTGTTTTGGAGATGAATCTAATTGTAAAGTTGATGAGATCTTGAGTATTTATGAAACACTCTATAAATTCAGTTTCATCTATTTTTGAAGTTATATTGTATTCACTTGAACCAATTTTAAATACCAATGTTCTTATATTACAATCGTCGACATCTTTATAATCTTCTCCTCTGCCAAACCTGTATTCATTAATTGTTTCTTGAATACCATCCTCTTGAACACCCACATTGATAAACATAATATATCTCTTTACCATTGCCGACACTGATTCTGAAAAATCAAATAATAAATATCTATATAATTTGATATGATCATTTTCACTATATAATTTTTAATTATTATTATTATTGGTTATTTTTATTATTATTATTTATTATTATGAATAAAATTATATGTTAGAAATCTGTTAATCGTATTGAATCGAACTTTAATCAATTAATTAATTATGTGATACAAACTCTGTTATTAAATCTACAACTCTCCTTTTAACCTTGTTTATTATTAAAAACTCTTTTATATGTTCCAATAGTTGTTCATATGTATTTTCATCTTTAAGTGATGATGATGATGATAACGACATAAGTGGGTGAAATTTTAAATTGGATTGATTTGTGTGTGTTTGTTGTTATTTTTAGATTACACGATTCCGATTTCAATTTTCAAAAAATTTGCAAAAAAAAAATTTAAAAAAAATTTAAAAAAAAAATAAAAAAAAACATTTTTGGTACCCTTTTTTTTTTTTTTTTTATTTTATTTGAAAATTTTCTATATATATATATGTCTATAATTAAAGAAAAAAAAATAAAAAAAAATAAAAAATAAAAATAGTTTTTATTTTTATTTAGATTTACAATTGCATTTACGTTTAGTTTTACATTTATATTTAAATAAATCAATATAACAGATAAAAAAAAAAAAATATTTATTTGAAAACCAAAAACCACAAAATTTTTTTTTTTTATTTTTTATTTTTTATTTTTTTATTTTTATTTTTATTTTTATTTTTTTAAAAAAATTTTTTTTAATTTTTTTTTTTTTTTATTTTAAAATTTTTTATCACACACATTATCTTAACTTGTTTTTTATATATTATTATATTATTTTTTCATTTTTTTCCAATCATTTTTTTATATTATTTATTAAAATTTAAACATTATCAATATTAATATTTTAATATAATAATTGTTGTTGTATAGTCTTTTGAAAAAAAAAATTCTTTTAAAATTTTTTTTTCCCCATCCTTATTTATATAAACCAAAATAACTTAATATAAATATAGTTGTATTATTAAAGAAAATTATTGTAATTTATAAAAAAACACAAACACAGATATACAGACAGATAAATAGATAAAAAAAAAAGAAATGTTTAATAAGATTTTGTAAATATTCAATTTAATTTTAATTCTCAAATATCCACAAAATAATAATAATAATAATAATAATAATAATAATAATAATAATAATAATAATAATAATAATAATAATAATATTAATAATAATAATAAAAATATAATAATATTAGAAATACGAATTTCTGAATAAATTATTAATCACCTTAATTTTGCAGTAGTAGCGACAAAAACAAAACATTCAAACCAAAAAAGGGTTTTAGCAAAGGGACAAAAAGACACGATTTACATAAACATGCCAAAGCAACACTTGGTTCAGGTAATTTAAGACTTGCTGTTTCACTCCCAGAAAGAGAAGATTTAAATGAATGGCTTCAGTTAATAGTAA